CATCACAATAGCCTGCCTAGTCACCTCGCTATCCACATCGGTTACATCACCCTGCTCTCCACTTCGCCAACGAAACAGCCACCTGTCCACAAATGACGTGTTCTTGTTATGGCCGTGAAGGCGGTGAAGAATTAACTGACATGCCACACTTCAGTCAACATTTATTTCAGCTCTCCTGATTGTCCTCTCCACCCCACTTGCAGCCCATTTTCAAGCCTCCGCTCACCAACTCTCGGTCAGGTTTGTTTGTTCCAAAAATGGGATTGGCACTGCAGTTGCAGAGTCAGCTGCGACTACAAATGCTTACCACAACGTCTGCTATGTGGCATTTGCAGGGGGTGTGCTGTGGCGCAACAATACACACCATTCAGAAATGGTTCTACACTTTGGATTGTGGAGATGAGTGTGTGAAGAACTCCCACTGGTGTTTCACATGAGTGATGCAACACCTCATCGACGGATGTCGGCATGGAGAGGACTCAGTGACTAGGCCACCCATTTGCCCTTCACTACTTCATCCACCACCTCGACATGATGTTAGGCAATGCAGCTAGACTACTCGCCGACCGAATTTAGATGAACAGTGGTTGTGGTACCACTAAAACATCAAGTAAAGTGAACAGACAATTGGTAGTTGCCAACGCATAACTTACTCACTACTCCACATACACATGCCTACATACTTCAGAAGTGCCACGTCATGACCACAAGATCAGGGCTGCTGTTCACATGTCTCGTGTGGAATGGGGCACAGAAGCAATGCTGCACTTGCTCAAGGTGACGCAACCGCGACTGGTGTCTGTCCACTCCATTTACCCACTCAGGCGTGTGTAGGAGGATGCAGTTGGAGGGTGTGCAGGAGGTCTTCTTTGTGTGTTCCTCAGAACAGTGGATGCGATCAGCAAGGAAGTTGTAAGTGGCACTTCGGCATGCCAACACAAGGCCTCGTAGCACCTACCATAAGCGAACATGATGGCGAGTTGTGTAATGTGGTGTGAGAGGGATGGGGAGAGGTAGAGGGAGTTGAAGAGGGAGAGGAAGGGAGAGACATCACCCCATGTCATCCCGCATGCTTCTGCAATGATGCTCCGCCAAGCGATGGTTGTCAGCTTGACTTGACTTGACTTGACTTGACATTGGCAGTGGACAAGTGAGAAAGAATCATGTGGGAAGCAGAGTAGACAGCTTGGAAGTGGAAGTGAGATAGAAATGCAGATTGGAAGGATCAAGCTGTTTGTTTCTGAAGACAAGGCCTTTCGCAAAGGTGGATTCATAGTAAGCCACTTTTAATGAAGAAAGAGTTATTATTTAGCGGATAATCTTGACTATTAGTTTATTTTGGAATACTTTTTTTCTGAAACTATGTAATTTTAGGTGTCAAAACGGCGCTAACTTATTTGGCTATCTTGACTAGTATAGTATCGCCGAAAGAGTGGTGTGAAATGTAAAGCAAATCCGTATAATCTCATTTTGGAGGAAAATCAGAATCAGGAGTTGACTAGTGGTTATTTCTCCGTGGTCTTTCCACCTTGCATCCAACGAATTCAACGCTGAGAAGCCTTTTAAAATGTGCTGTAATATTGCCTTTTGTAGAGTAAGAAAACGAACCTTGCAGCAAGTATTTACGGTATCTCTCCTGGTAACTATTGATGCCGCAGGGTCTTGTCACCCGCTCTCTCCTCAGTGCCGAACCATCAGCAGTATCGTTGCCACCACCATTTTCGTTCATCCTACCATGCAGAAAGTGAGTCATTCATCCACCTTTCTCATCCTGACGCCTCTGGAACCACGACTAGGTGTTTCATTCATTGTGAGCATGTAATTAAAATCTCATTCCTGGTCAGTGCTTAAGACTTGACTAATCCTCTGGGTGCGTGTGTTGCAGTAAAGAAAGCCAATGTATTTGTTAGATAAGTCATACCTTCTAACTTCATAGTGAAGAATTAAGGTATTGATACCTGAATAAAAGGGTGAAAGTGTTGTTAGAATATCGTTGTATTGCCAGCCATGACCATGCAGTTACATCGTGTTCGCTTCAGTTCGCGTTCAAATTCACGCCTCTTCTGTCGCCGCGCTTTTGGTGGCGTGGCCCACCAGATCTTCTGAGACTTGCTAATAAACCCTCTTCCCTACCGATAGGACTCATATCGAATTCATAGTGAGCTCGGGGTCCTACCATTATTTCTATGGCATGTTAAGTTAAATGGTAAAGTTGAAAGAGGAATATTTGCTTTAAACTGTGATATACAGTGAATAAGTAGTTAGTTGTGATGGCAAAGTCGTTTGAAACTCTATGAAGTAATTTTGGCCTTTCCTCTTGTGTTGTTACCAAGATGATAAGAGAGAGTTTGATCAGGCTTACCTAGAAATAAACTTAAATACAAGCCTAAAATTTTTTTATAAAATCTGTAGAAGAGGTGAGATATAATGAAATTACTTTCATCCTACCATTCCTACTTCTATGGCATAAAAGAAACATGATATTACTTGAGGTCGAAATCTTTATTACATTTCATTTGATTTATGTCCTTGAATTGTTATTGACGCCTCGGCAATCCAGCATAGCGACTGATGCTACAACAAGAAGAATTAGTGCACAAGTGCTCTCAAAGAAACAACGGAATGTGCACATTTATTTGTTTCATTTGATACTACTATTGAGGTGGTTGGTAATCTTCAGTTCCATCAATCCATTACTAATATCCAGAGGACAGTAGTTTTACCACTGACTGATAGTGAACAATCAACCCTTCAAAAGATAAGTTTTACACTTTCTTTGGGTCACTCAGTCCGACGAGCGCTTCTGTCTGGCGAATGTGTACAAGCAAATATTCCAGCAAAGTTTTAAACGCGGAATAGGAGGAAAAAGTGTTGGCAAGATAAGCTCGTCCTTCTTACATTTCAGGCAGTAGTAGTGGGACGGCACGCTATCATGGTCAAAGGATAGGGTTGGTTTAAATGGTAATGTGTTTTGGGGATAAATAAATAAAGTTGAGAGATAGGGATTATATTTTTACTCTATTTGCCCTAAATGACATCACAACTCCATTCAGATAGAAAATGAACTAAAACGCTCACAGATGAAAGTAGTTTGGTAAATATTTGGGAATTGAGGCATATATGTAAAATTTCAATAAAGGCCCATGTAGCGCCTCGAGACTTCCCTGAAGACTATTGGAGGCATAATACTTGGGCAGAATACATATATTCGACATACAGAAGGCATTAGGACTACTGGCGTGGCCTGAGGCCAGCCCATCTGACCGGGTGCAATAGTGGCCCTTTACCAAAATTGAGCGTTAAACAAACAATCAACGTATTGCAGTTCATTTCTCTAGAATTTTAATAAGTGATATCTACCAAAGACAAATGGTCTATTTGAGTTCCAAAATTATGGACCAGATTCTGAAGGCAATTTGTACGGGACGAGTTCTACTGTTTACCTGCAGAAGGGCTAGAAGGCTAAGACGTACGCACATACTGCAGAGACTGAAGAGTTCATGTAGGTAGGTATACAATAGAGAACTTTAAATCATCATAGCTCATTTCTTCTTTAAACGTCATCCCTGGTCACTCTTCTAATTCGGGCGCAACAGTTCCTTACATGAATTTTAACCTTGTCTCAAGGCAGGACTGAGGATAATGTGACGAAATCACATTCTAGGGAGAACGCTGCCTCTGAATGAAAGTAAATCCTGGAGGTCCAACTGGGATTTCGGAAAGTCGTTCATTCCACAAATGTGACGTTGCTCTGAGATACTACTAACTGAGTTCCCAGTGCCATTGTATGGGTGGAATCCATATAGACCTTATCCAGATCACCAACCTGGCAATCAACAAGCAAGATCTTCAGAGGAGATGTCTTTGTCATCGACATAATGAGTAAGCAAAGGGCGTAAGTTCGGTGAGTACGCGCCTGACTGCTGGCTAATAGAGACGAGAGACTGTCAAAACTGGTGTCGGTGATGCCAGTTACGCTTGATTACGGTAACTAATTGACTTTTTTCTTCAGTACATTTAAAGTACAGATCTGCTTGATGTGGACCAATCAGGGGGCAGGTACTAGAACACCATTCTCTGGAATTTTCGAAGCTCAGTAAGCAGTTGGAACTTCTAGAAGATCGAAGAGAGACGCATTTCTGGGATTGCATGTATCTCAACAATTACCTTAGATGGGAACTGTTAAAAATAAAGACGTTTCTTCTCGAATAGCTTATTTAATATCGGGACCGAGTATTCCCTAAAAATGGGAGAAAAATCCAAGTCATTATCTGAACTGGTGTAACGCTTATGATTTACGAAGGTGGTTTCACAAAGTAGTAACTTAATCGTCTTAACATCGCATTTGGACCTATTCTCTTTCCCTTCTTTTGCATAAAATTCATTGAGTAACAACGAAACTGTTGTCTAACCTTTTTAAATTCAAAAAGAACTAGAGATTACATGCTTTACGGACAGAAAGATGTGATTTGATGCGTGACCGTCCCCGGTTAAATAATGTCTTAGATACCTAACATCTTCCTCACCATTACATTATTAAACCTGGTCAAAACCATTCAGCAGGATACAAAAGCAACCTTGGCATTTGCTTTGCTACCATTTGCCATTCGAAAGAGAAAATTACAAGTTTCTACCTTAACAATCCTAAGAAGTCAATTTTCGCATATGATGGATAAGTGTCGAAGTAACTTCAATAGTAGGTGATATCAAAACGATGCTTTTAACTCAAATGCTGATCTTTCCATTCTCAAGTACGAATACACCTACGAAAGTCTCGGGACCTTCGAATAACCAAAATGAAATGAAACTTTCTCCCCACCAAAGCAATTCCAGAAAACTTGGCTGGTGTTTGACGCAGTAGTCACTCGAATTTAAACCTTTTTAACCATCTAGGGTTAACTTTTGGCTTGGCGGTGAGGTCGGGCACATAACATCCTGTAGTTTCCTAAATGGCACACCTGGTAGAAATCAAAAAACCATTTGTAGTCAAGCTCAACCCCCTATAGCCACCTTAAGGCCAACTTCTTTCTAGAAAAGTTGCGAGATCATTGTTGAGGAATAAGAAACTGGGGATCTATAAGCAAATATCGCATCAGACATACTCTAATGCTTCATCAAGTATGTTAGCAACTTGTAGCAAGCACTCCATGGAACATTCAAATGGAACATCAAGCCCAAAATAGCTAAACTTGGTAAAACTGGGAATTGAATTCCTTAGAATAGTGACTTTATTTTAAATTATTTTGATTCTGAATCCACAAACAAAAGCCTTCATGTGGAAAGAAAGCGGAAAGTTCCTTCGAATTGGACATTTGACGTACTTACTTGTTAAATTGGTCCGTAAATCCGGTAAAAACCTTATTATAGTGTTCTTCTAATCTTAATCGTTCTATTCGTACTAATTGGGAACTTTTGTGTTTCCGTCCGCCCCATTCATTTTTTGAGAAATCTGGCCTTTGTTTGTTGTAAAAAAAAACACTGTAAGTCTCAGCTTATTAATTTTTTGCTTCATTTACTTATTTTTTATCGCACTTGGATAAAAATTGCACCCTTTTCTTATTGGATGTCTGACTGCAAAAGTACAAGTATTAAAACGGCTTTCAATAACGACTCAACGGTTTTGAAAAGAATTTGATGATGGGTAATAAGGAAAATAAGGACAAATCAGGGGAACTATGCCAAAACCACATCAACCTCTTGTTTGCGTTTGGCTCGAAACGCAAACAAAACGTTTTCTCACATCACAGCCATGTCGGGAAATGAATAAGTTGATTTCACCCCTAATTTAGTGGTTTTGATTGTACGAAGTGTGTACTAGAATCATACCGCAAGCATTTCGTCTCAATAGCTTCTCCACTATCGTTGCCGTCTTTTTTTGAAAAAAAAGTTATTTGTTTTAAATAAATTTAAGCCACCCTTCAGCCACTATTCCATCATACGCACACACGGGCGCACTTACATGCCATAAGGTCGATAAGCAAACATCGCACGTGTTGGCGTGCGTTGTGCATGCGCGTCCACACTATGTCACGCATCTGATTGGCCACCCGTAAACCAATTAGCTGGCCCCTTTGGGTGAGCAAATGGGCCCAATTGGGCGCGTGTCTTCCTCACGAATGCACACACGCACACATTAACATCATAGCGCGTCACTTAGACGAAATTGGAATAAAAACACCGTAACGCCTGTTTGGCATAGTGGATTAGCACGCCCACGCACGCACGCACACTTACGCAGGCACTCTCAACGGACAGGTTAGTTGGAGGCTAGAGCGAAGACCCAGACCGATAACCGGTGTGTGCTTGTGCGCGCCTGCGTACATGTGTGCATACATGCAGTAGCAGCAGGCGTGTGTGCGTGTTTGTGTGACCTCCACAAGGGACCAACCACAGTCTGCTCATTCTTGTTCATCGTGTCAGTGAATTATACGGTCTCGCGCGTGGGTGGCCTCGATATATAAGCCCTGATTTAACACATGAAGGATTGATTGCAGTTACAAACACCACAAAATGGAGACTCCTACTACAACCAATATCTATCCGGAAATGTCCCCTCCCCTTCTCGAAACTGTTATGCGATTGACTATTGATAAGGTGAAGACACAGCGTTCTCCCACTGCTGTCCCTGTTGCTTCACAGCCCCAGACTCCACGACCTTCTTCAGGAGGCGGGGAGCAATCCCAAAGACTTGTTCCCTTCGCACGGTCTAAATCAACTAGCCTTCTAAGAACTCTCCTAATAATTCAAATCGGTCGAAAAACTAGCCGACTTTTGTCGCTGATCAGCCAACCGGATCTATCCCAATCTGTCAAACCGATTCAACAGGTACCATCGGCACCACTACAACCACCACCAGCTGAAGAGCCGCAGCCTCGGTGTACCCATGGTGGCAAAAGACGCTCCTCTGAAGACGAGAACATCCAGACGGAAGGATCTGCGGTGCCCCTAAGAGAAAGGCCCAACTCTCTTGAAGGCCCCTCCTTGGAGAAAGCGCCTTGTCTGGAGAAAATTAATCGAACTTACTCGGTTTCTTGTACTTCAGGAGAAATCAGTCCAGTTCGAGGGCTTAATCAACTGAGTCTACAAGCCTCCACCAATACAACCGTCTCCTATGGTGAGGACTCTTGTCCACGTTGTCAACGTTGTTCCATGTGGATGCAGCAACAACAGCAGTTGCGGCCAAACACCTCAAAATTCCAGCTCTGTGAGCCCGTCCAGCAATGTTGAAGGTCAATGCTATATACACTCCTTACTTTGCTCTGTACAGATTTAACTTAATTGCCTATCTTATTCAATTGTTTGTATCATAAACAGTAGTTATGTACAGCAAATCTTCTCAAGATAAAGAAACATCCATGGTGTCTTGTAAAACGCCGCTGTGCTTTGTGCTCCATTAGGGCCAGAGGTGTCTCTTCGAACGAATCTGGAATAGCTAAGAGATTCACTATTACCATATTGGTGAGGCAAAAGTGTGCGGTAGCAGAGTAATGCGTGTGAAAATGGATCTTGGATTAGGTAATGATAACCTCGATTCGTAAGTGTAACGTGTGTGTGCTTTCTATATTATAGTCACCTGAGTGTGAGTAATGGAAGAAGTGAGTCGCTTGTAGCGTAACTACGCACATCAGAACTACCACACTAGTTCTAGAATCATAACAATGTTAAAATAATTTAAAATTTTCTTTCGTCTAATACATTCATGAACGATTTTGATGAATTTTACCCACTTATTTAACTTCCTTGAGTCAATCGATTAATCAATCAAAATTGGATTTATTTTGGCTAATTAAGCTGAAGACGGTAAAGTGAACGACCAATAGTTCATCAGACCTATGATTTCACTTGCTGACGCATCCTGGAAAATGCAAAAGTCTCCTGCAGTGTGTCATGCCGGCAATTTTATACATTCACTTGACATGTGACTTGAGGGCTTTCCAGCATTGAGGTCATTTTGGAAATGTAATCATAAAAATATGGTTTGGCTTTAATCCACCATCTTGTTTGGTAAGACGTGGACCTCATTGATATGTAGCGTCATATATCTGGAGATTGTGATGATCAGCGGTTTAGCTCAAAATTTTTCGGACTATAAAGCCTTTTCTATTCCACGTTAATATTTTAAGGCCAGAAAGCTTACTCTTACTTTTCGTGTCCTCACACCAGCTCCGTGGTCCCATCTAGAAAGTGTATATATGAGGTTTTTTAATAAAATTTTTTTTTCATCCCGCCTGAAACCAGGTCTGTCTTCAAAATATGCAGTTAGGGTGAATCAGCCGACTCCCTACGAGGGCTCGTCTATCGATCGATATCGCCACGACGGTGCGAAAAATCGATATTGGTGAGGGAGTGGGAGTCGATGCAAGTAAGTGGTCGTGCCAGTCCAGCGCAATACCAGCAGGCACGGAAATTTCCTCTGAAACTCAACACATGCTTATAAGCACTCAAAGTGTGACACGTAATCTAGGTATACGTGGAGGTGTAAAAAGCAGGCCAGAACAACTTTACAGCATGCCAAATACCTTATTTCTATTTTCTACAATTTTCTCTTAGAAAGAATAAGATATTACTCTCTTGAGATTTGCAATTCAAAAAGCTATCATGCTTCCTTTTGAAGGAATCACTTCCGTTATTCTCATATCCGATTCGTACATTCACTTGCGTCATGTGAATTTTTCCACCAAAAATAAAGATGACACCATAAAGAATATTGCAAGACAAGTCCTAAAATGAATGAAGCCAAGAGCGCATTTTAAAATCAATGGAACGTAAGTATGAACATTTTTGCGCAGTTTGTGTAGGGTGTTTACAAAATTACTCAAAAATGGTGATTAAGATAAAAGCCACTTCAATTTTTCCTATTAAGTTGGTGACGACGATTTTAGTGTTGAATTTTGGGTTACTACACATCATCTCTGAGTCATTGGTAGTTCTAACAGAAGCCACAGGTGATTATGTGACTGGATTTTATTTTAATTTTTAAAATTCAATTATTACGCAAATTACAAGCCGATTTCCAGATTGCTCGGTCTTGTGATCGCTTCAAGGGTAACTCGAACACTGCACCGGAAGTGAGCTTAGAAGGACTGCGGTACCTCTGACAATGCATGAATTCTAACACTCGGAGAATGTACACATTGGGGCAATCAAGACTAATTCACCTCCATTCCGGGTTAATTAAACAGGGAAGATAAGGGGTTAAAACGTCCTTTATACCTTTTCTTTTTTAAACAGAGTGAGCCCGATTTTGCGCGTTACTCATGTCTGGATTTATATAAAAACCTAACTTTTTTGGCCTTCATAGTATGGAATTCGTGGTGGTTTATACGTGTTGATAAGGCGTTAAATGTTTAAATCCAGTATATTATTTAATGTATCTATAATGTTTGAATAATGAATTCATGAGATGATCGTCACCTTCGCGGTCCAAAGTACCGTAGAGGTGGACGTGAATGAGAATATGCACACCACCTTCTGAAATTCCGAACTCTAATGTTAGGCGATTTTGCTCATCATTATGTATTTCACCTAAAGGAGGTGCTTAAGTTAAGAACCAGCTTGAATTTTGGCGTTAGATTATCAAAACAAATTAGAGGGATGAATTCATGAAAGTAAAATAGGGTTGTATGAGGAGAACGGTCAGAAGCTCATAAGTCCTCATTGAGAGTTAACCTGAGTAAATGCAGAAAAACCCTCCTATTTTATGACCACAGAAGAAAAATAATAAAAGTCGAAATTAAAACGCCATTCTTTATGTCATGCAACTGAAAATTCAAGTGATACATGCAACAGCTAATATGTGAAGTAACCATTAGCACCTAGAAAAAAGTGTGGGATGGCGAATGGTTGGAGGAAAACTTTTGATGTACGTGTGAAAGCATTCACTAAAGCATTACTTTCCTAAAAATGTGAAAGTGAAAATTTGGTGGAGAAATGCCCACTTTTTGCACAGCGAGAAATCCCCCATTCGATAACTGGATGAAACGTGGAGAGTGGGATGGGAAAAATCAGCCGCAAATGTGCAAATTCGGCTCCTAAAAAAATATGCAAAAATTGCTTTGGCTGATAAAGGACTGCTTGGAGAAATCGCATTATTGTTCCATTACGGGAGGAGTAATCCACCCCACTCTATACCGTTTTTTATCTTACCAGAGTTTGAAATTAGTAGTTGAAGTAATTTGGAAATTAACATAAGATGCAAAGTTGAAAATCTGAATTTTTATGGAAGAATTAAGGAAAACACAGTGGTTATTTACTTGCAATTTTAGCTTAGTGATTTTCGGCGAAAAAGTGGACCCCAATACTATTTTCCATTGGGCTGCGAAGTCGATCATCGCTTATCAGTAGCTCGGTACTTCATGCAATCGCCCTGTCGACGCCACTTTTAGCTCATTTGTATTACGTTGAAAGCGCATGAATTCATGGGATTACGCTAGTTAGCAGTAGGAAGTAAATAAATGCAAATTCCAACTTAATTGAGAAGGAATAGGATCCAACCATAATTGGTGAAAGCAACTAAAAGTGACTTTCTCGTTTCAAAAACGCTGAAGTGACACCACTTGTAGAGCATGCGCGTAGAGGGAGAGAACGCGCCAGAGAGAGAGAGTAAAGCATTTCAGTGACAGCCACTTAGGCCTCACCACCGCCTTTTCCTCACCTGACGCTATCACAGCAGCCTTTCCTCTCCTTTTTTCAATGGCAGATTCAATTGCAGAGGTGTATGTAAGTGTGAATTCAGTTTCAAGGTCTGTGCTCAACGTTGGGTTAATGCCGTAATCCAAAGGCTTTGGGAGGCTGCATCTTGTAATCGGCCTTTAAGACATCCCTCGGCTTGTGGGTGAAACCACCGACAGGTTACTTTGGCAGACTATTGAATTCTTATTTGTTTCATAGAAAAAAAGATTGCTTTGGTATCAATTTACCCTTAATACCTCAGATGTCTATTGTGAGTTGCTCCTACAGTAGAACGGAGAGTTTAATTTTTTGGCTATTTCGTCCATGGGTAAAAAAGAGAGGCTGAGGTTTCTTAAAACCAGTTTCATCCCATGCGAAGGCTATACTAAGCCACAAAAAGCGTATTTCCTTCACTTTAAACTGCGATACTGCACCCCTTCCCACACGGTCTCGCCTTTCATATTCGCTTCCATTTATCATTCTCTACCTAATCTCTGATGGGCAGGAGAAGGTATGGATTTTAAATGGCCCAATTTCAACTCTCTGACACCTCCTTCTTAAACAATCTTTTTAAAAAAGCATTAAGACTATTTAATGAATTACAGATGTAACAATGCAAGTAGGGATACCAGTCGAGAGGCTACACGTTATCTCCTGACTCAGGGCCTTGACACAAACACTGTTCCCATCTTAACGTCCACAAGGCCGACAGCTAACCTTCACAAACGCCTTTGAGTCTTTCCTACATCAGTTCAATGAAGTAAAATATCATCGTGGAGGACCACTTTGCAAGAACTGAAGACACTTTACGCGATAAGTAACGTAGGAATGGCGATTGCAACCTCAGGATAATCGCATGTTGTTTCCATAGGTGATAAATGGCAAACCGGCTGATTAAAAGCACTGAGATGACAAAAGTATTCCTCCAATTAGCCTTTTCTTCTACTCATTGCAGTGAAATTGATTGACAACCTACCGATGTAGGTGTTATTGTGGCAGGTGAAGGGAGAAACATAAGCTGAGCGCTTAGGCGGGTCTAAGTGTAAGCAGCAGGAGTAAAAGAAAGGAAGATGGTGGCAGGGGTAGAAAGGGAAATTAGGAAGACATGAAAAAGGTCTCAATTAATAGTTTATGGTTTTCTGGGACAAAGAGAGGTGGAGGAAAGTGTCTGAATACTACATAAATGATGTAATCAAATATCATGGAAAGCGAAGCGAATAGGACCCCTAAAAATGAGTGACGACTTTTTGGATGGAACCCTTTTTAGGCAAAGGAGCTGAAAATGTCGTAATCAAAATGTAACGGGAAGCATCTATCAAAAGCGCATTAGCGTTGTAGGATGTCACTTTCATTGTAGTGGAGGTGAGTTAGCCGAGACCGTATCCGAAATCGGGTTCGCTTTTCCCGACGCAAATGTTTATTTTTTGCATAATAAATCAGTTGCCCAGCCGATTCCTCCAATCACAAATAAATGACCTTGAAAGGTGATTCTGTGGACCAGGATCCACCTTGAATGTTAAGTCCATTGTTTGTCTTCTTGGAAGGACGGCGTTAGGAATCCTTATTGTCGAGCTAGAGATGCAGCCATTCCCTTCCATATTCGTCTGCATTATGACCACCCACGTGACTATCATCACCTCACTTGCTCCTAGTGTTTTCCAATGCCATATTTAATACCTACTTTGACTAGTAACGCTAAAATGAAGTTCGCCTTTCACTCATCACGATTTATCTCACCATACAAAAAAAGCCCTCATCAAGAAGATGGCGGAACTCATTACGTGACACCTTTATCATATGCAGATCTACTACTCACAGAGAGCACGGAGTTGGAATGGTTTCGTATCACGTGTGTGTGTGTGTGGTATCACCAGAGAGAGTGAAGGTGCCAAGGCACAGGACCTGCAACCCATTCAGGTAAACATACCTGCACCAGCACTTTGTGATCGAATTCGCTCTCATAGGTACCTTCTGGTGCAGGCACGCCATCCACTGAATAGGTGATGCCAACCCGTACGCAGTAGGTCTAAAGGTCCGCCTCAGTCACCTTAAAAGTGTCAAATATACTAACAAATTTTTCTTTTTAAGTATTAAACAGAAATAAATTTGACTTAGAATTAAAAATCGAATGCATTTTAGGACTATTCCTTAAATGTCATGTGAGTGTGCTATCCGTGCATCCTCATGGGCGCGACAGGATTTTTCAGAGATCGCTTTTAGGCGGTTGCTTCTGATGAATTTGCGCAATCATCTTTAAGTCGGATCACACAATTCTGTTGCTTTTTAACCAAGTTCTCGATTCTATGTACTTGTTGTCATGCTCAGATGCCTGTACACAACTTGCATGATCTACTGTTTACGTAAGGGAGGTTTGCTGGTCAAACGCAAGCAGTGTTGATCAGCTAATCATCACAGGCAGGTCAATTACTTGGAAGTGCACATCCGATTTCGAACTCGGATATCTCGTACTGGAAGACGAGGAGGAGGAGGAGGAGGAGGAAGAAGAGAAAAAAGAATGTGACAGCTTTGGTAGTGGTGACGTGGAAACAACAGCTGTGCTTATGAGAAGGGCTTAAACACCCAAAACACTCCATTGGCTCTCAGTTCCATATGCGATTTTGGTGGAGTGCCTTGGTAAGTCCTAAAAATTTCACGATCCAAAAAATTGATTCAGATTATAAAACCACTACTCCACACTTTAAAGGCTCGCACTGCCTAGTCCCCTGGAGACTATACCCGTTTGGTGTGTTGTGGATTGCATCTTTAATTGCTTACTACTAGCCCTTCGGTGGAGATCCATTAATTGTAAATGAGGTCTATCTGCTGAGTAGCATATAAAACACCTCTTCAGAGACGGTCAGGACCGGTCAACCGATCGAAAGAGGGTCCCATTTGCATCTTCCATCCTACCACAAAACTTACTTCTGCAAGATCTGCACTTCAGCTGAGATAAGCAAAAGATGGAGCCTCACCTCATTCCCCTCACCACCCTAATATTTTTTTAAAAGCGGTTACCACCACGTCTCGATTTTATCGAGTCAATCTCAAGGAAGACAGTTTGGTAATAAAAGTGAGATGGAAAGGGATGTGGCTAGGGTTGTTCTTTCTAAACTTCTAAGCACAAAACGTGCTGTTTTAAGTCGGTTTTGACAACTTGTTTTCCTCTGGAAAAAAAGCAAATTGCAATGAGAATTGTTTTAATGTACAAAATAATCAAAGAAGTTTGCTGTATTCATTTAACTTTTACCACTCGAAACCGCACAAACTCGTTTAATTGCCTTTTAAGGACTTTCAAGGTGATATTTATGGGCCACACCGACTTGTGAACTTTTAGCTCGGGAAGTCGGAACTGCTAAAATTGGTAACCCCTTGGTCACCAGAGTGACTTAGAAGTAATGCAAATGCCTCAGTCCGGATGTTTCGAGGTTCTAACTTGGATACGCCAATTGTTACCAATTTTGTGGGACGTAATTTATAACGTAGCAAATAATATTAGCTTCCTTTAATTAGACGCTACAATTTGTGATGAAATTTGGTGCAACTAGATATTATAAGCAGATAAGAAAATTCTGCCACGCGTTTGTGATCCCGGGTTTGGATAAGAAAATGGGGAGGTAGGAGGGTCTCTGTTGGTATAGAACTGCTGGCTAGCAAGTTCATTCTTTTAGGGGACGAAACAGTATAACACAAGGTCTGACCGTTTACCTTGTCAAAGCTCTAACTAGCTTTTGAATTGGGTGACACAGCAGGTAAAATTTTGAAAGGAAGCGCAATGCATCCAGACTGAAACAGTGGTAGCGTGTGTGTGTGTGTGTGTGCGTCCACCAAGTTGTTTTGGTTCCACATGTCGAAAATTAGGTTAAATGCCAGCCTTACGGAAACGATTAATCTACTGGCTTCCGCGGCGAGTGACTACTTCTCTTTGATCACGGATTTTGAAAAATCCGGGAGGTGTGATGAACGAAAACCTGACATTTTTCTCTCTCCCTGACCTTAAACGGACGGAATAAGCGATCAGACGAGTAGGCTGCATGAATGGTGTGATGCGACTAGGCGTTTTTACTAGACCATCTACAATCCAGCCACGATTTACGACGGTAAATCCACTTCTCCGTTTGTCTACACAGTCAGTACAATTTAGAAAATTCAACGCCTTTTTTTCATCACCCAATCACGTAAATGGGTATCGCCTTTTTTTGGATCAGCCATTATTTGTAGCAAAAAGGGCACAGCTCCTCGAGACGCATTGAAAACGCCATAAAATAATTTTGATGTTGACTACCGCAAGGGTGGGGATGGGACCACAAGCGAATATTCGGTTTCAAAACAACAGTATATGGCTAGGCTACCATCGGATTCCACTCACTAAATTCTCCCAAGACGTGAGCAATGATATTCATTTACGTTCCCGCATGCCCTTTGAAGCCATAACGTATTAACGCTCTAGAAGGGAATAAGATGTAATGTTTATGTAGCTCATTTACCCCACAGTATGGGAATGTTCTTGATTTACTCCAGTTTATGAAGCCCTTTAGTTTCGGATCAGAAAGGTGGCATGATCGGCTGCCCAATCACGCACAAACACACGCACACGCACATGCACACAAGGGCACAGCACTCCGACGGTTGCATTAGAGCGCTGTGACCTCGTGACTCATCGCTCCCCCCTCCCTCTCTCTCTCTCTCTCTAAAGGCCGCACAGTGCATGCAAGTGTGGAGGGATGTGGATGACCTTACATTCACCACTTCTAACCTGTCCACACATCTGAACACGGACACCGTAACCTGAAGCTGCAGTGTCGGGTTGACCAGCGGTAAAAGAGGAATGAAGATGCGACCACGTGGGTGTTGTTTGGTTTGAGGCACAAATTCCCAAAACCGAAGCGTGGTAGCGAAATACTAATGTGAAGCCAAAAAGTATAAAGCCCGATTTGATTAAAAAGAAACCACCACACTGTATTTGGATAGTTTTATTGCCTTGATCCAAAGACAGTATAGGTGATTTTTCGATCAACAGACAGTTATTCGCAGCAGCAATACGTAATTTCTGATTACATATGAAAGTTGCGCCACCTTTAATTGGGGCCATTTTTTTACTACAAAGTAACAAACTTTAGCTCCTTGAATCATCGCTTACTTCGGAATGGAAGATGGTTTATTAATAACGCGCAGGCAGATTTGGCCTCGATACCCCATGGCTGTTGGGCAGCGATATTTGAAGAGTCCGCGCGGGTAAAAGCGTTATTAAAGCAAGGGATCTTTTTGGTACACGCCTTTCTTTCCTCTTAAGAGGTAATACTTTTCGGCCGCGAGCCAAAAATGACGATGTCAGGGACTTGTACTAGGGGGGATGATACCTACTTCATTGGTGGAAGCTTGTGCTGCGGGACTTAGCTGGGATTTTTTTATTATCGCTTCCTATTCAATGTGAACTGCATCCTATTGGCATTTACTTAAGAAACAGAGGTAAAGGATGGATAGTGACCTACAGCTAGTTCATGTCTCATTTAAATAACTTTTCTTAAGCAGATTTACCCAGTAACTACATAAAGAGGAGAAGTTTTGTGTACTCAGATTATGACACATCCCTGTTATTGATAAATTAGGAAGTTCTTAAATGGTGAATTTGATTGAGTGGAATCTGGTTGTATCTCATTAACCACCACTGTGAGAGGTTGTAAGAATTGGGCTTTTTGCGGAACTTTGGGGATGGTTCAATAACTCCCCAGCCATTCATAGCGGACACTTTCATTTTGTGGCATTTGGTTATAATCTCTAACGTCAAATTAATGTGCTTGTTCCGAATTATTCTTTACGTAATTTGGTGATCGTTTGCATAACTGCTTTATAAGTCAAATCGACGGGATCTGAAGTGCCCGCGCTGCTGAACATAGGCTAATGCAACAAACTTTATTCTACGTAGTCCTCTAATCTTGGGCGTCTCCCCTAAATTCGCTGTGTCCACTAACCCTGCTACTACTCTAGTCAGGACCGTAAACTTATGAAAAGTAGTTTCTTTTCTTGTGCGTTGGCTACTGTGAACACATAAGTCACTTTGAATCATCCCTTCTCACCTGGGACAACTCTCTGTCCCAGAAGTCATGATGATGGATAGCTGAGGTTGTACGCGCCTTTAAGGTGACCCGCATTCAAGTGGATCCTGACGTCCTTGACACGAGAAGGTGCCAATGCTCCCAACGGGAAATTTGGCAAGCCTTATCACTACGCTCCAACCGTAGCGGTCAAGGCAACTTGAATTATGGGAGTTAGGTTACGAATTGTTAGGAGTAGCATACGTATGCTTGGATATACTTAACCCCTGACCAACTTTCACGATTGACCACTTAATAACCTGTTCCTCCTTTTTATTGTATATAGTGCACCTAAGCCCTTTAAATGTTGATAACTGAGGTGGCACCATATATGAGGCCGATTTCCGTTAGTAATGTAAAGGAAAGGCCACATTAGCTGTAATACGTTGATTGGCCGTTTAACTCTCGGCTTCAGCAACGGTCCACCATTACAACTCTACCAAATGGCCTGACCTTTGGGCCAAGTCGGTAGCTCCAAGTCCCACTTTATGTCAAGTATGTATATATTCTGCCAGGAAAGTCTAGAGGCGCTACAAAACATTTGTGAACTGGCACATAGTCGGTAAGAAAATGCTTAGCACAAATAATGACTTTTAAGGGGTGAGAGAGTAGAAATCTGGTGCAGCAGAAATAAACGAAAATATCTGGTGAGTATACCTGTCACAGGGTTATTTTTCAACTTAAAAAACTCGAAACCACCGCTGCTGGTGCTGCAGGGTGGGGACACGGCACCGATTTTCATTGAAGCTTCTAGTGTCATTCGATTGCCCATCATTAATCTGGTTAATGACTTTTGCTTCTACCAAAATCTCTTCCAGTCATTTTAGCCACTTAACTAGAAACTTTTATTTTTCAAATAAAATATCACCCATATTTTGAACCTTAATTATTCACCCCGTATAATAATTCAGGTCATTTCCAAATAGAGTTATGCGCGTTTCCATTGAAAGGAATTGCCTTCCTTTGCAGTCTAATTAAATGGGACAAGTTGATGACAGTCACTCTCAGAACAGGCTAAAAAAAGTTAAAAAAAGGCAGACAGTTACGATCTGCCGCCCTCTTTCGACTCGCGATCTATACATGCAAGACCAAAAAGGTTGAGTGGAAGGGATGACGAGAGAAGGAAAGTGGTGTCTTTTTTTACACCCTCTAATTTTGATTTAACACCATTTGGCAAAGGTCTTCACCTTGCCCCTTTTATTTAACGATTCCCCTCTGTTCACTCATGCATAGCAGAGACCATGCGCCTTGGCTAGGCACTATGGAATGCCTCACCAAATCAAATGTGCCAACAGGGCAACCCTGAGCCACTAGTGTAAACAGACCATGTTTTCTTCATATTTTCAATGAGTTATATTTTTGGAATGCTACGTAGGTCTTAGCATATGTTAACAGGTTTCTCGCTATCATTTAGTAGCATCTATTCGCATATGCTTCAATTTCCTTTCAAGTACAATAACATTTTTCTCGCCTAGTTAAGTCACAATTCCCCCTTACTAGTTTACAGTGTTTATTTATTTTATTATTCTCTGTGGAAGTAACCCAATTCCTAATCCATGGACAAATTTGACACTGTAAGAGGAAGATGTGCTTTATTGTGGCTTATGAGATTAAGTCGGACAGACGTGGTCCCAAAGAGACGATGTAGGTGAACCGGAAAGTGTACAATTCAAAGGTGAACTAATCAGCTCCTAAAGCCGCTGTTGTATCACCTTTGAAGATATTTTTAAATAGTTAATTAATACTCATTATGTATTTCCATTGAGTCTAAAGGTTCATCTGCTTCCCTTCTATTATTATGAGCAGCTAATTCAGGTTGGTAATGTTTCAGTGACTACTTGTATCAAAGACTACCAGGATCATGTGATTTAATTTGTTTTCGACTAGAACAAATTTATCATTTCCCCGCTATTATCAGACCTCACTTAAGCCATTTGCTCCAGATGGTAGTGTCAGGAATTTGATCATAAATTTTTGTGAGTCTTAACCTAGAGGAAGTATTGTCTTTATCTGTCCAGTTGCATAACGTGAGCGCACGGGGCCTCCCTTGCACCTCCGCTTTCACAACAAGTTAAAAATAGCTCAGCATGGCTAGGAAGCCAAAAACACCTCTTCTCAGTCGATCCGTGATTTAAAAATATACGAGCCACGGATACACTCGAGGGAGCAAGTGCTGGCTTTCGACAAGCTGACATGGCGTTTTCGTGGATTGAGGATGCCATAAGGTGGGGGCAGATCGGTAGCTCATCTTCTACACAAACTGTGACGCACTATTTTTCGGTTTTAATCCCCGCCTCCATCGCCGTCCCTGTCGCCGCCCCCGCCACCTACATCATTACCAATTTTTAAAACCCAATTTTCGGGAGCTGTTCTCTGACGTACTCTTTGCTTGGGGCTAGCTGGTAAAGACAGTGGTTTATTTCAAAAGTTGAATTTAGATGATTTATTTCACTTGACAACAGTTTCCTTTCGATTATTCTACACTTCAGCACATCCCTCATTTGAAAGAAATGAACTGATAAGGGGATGTCAACACTCCGTTCGGTAGATATTCCAGCCTTAATTTAGGGCATAGCCACAAAGTGAAGCCAAATTTTTCTTTACATGCTATGGCATCACCGCGTGAGAGGACTTCCGATAAAACCAGAGGCAGGTTTTGCTTCACCACCTTAAGTGTGAACCCTTCTGTGTGTAAGTCAGCATGTAATACGTCACTGTCACACTAGTGCAGTCCCTCTCAAGTGCTTATGCTCTTCTATCAGTCCTAAGGCTGACATCTCTATTGGCTCTATTTGGTGTTGTCCTTCAATGTGCTGTCAGTTTCTTCCTAATGTGGACAAGCAAAAGCAGTACACTTTGTAGAAAAAACGTTCTTCAAATAGCCAAGTACATTTTTGAGACACTACACTTTTGATTATTTCATTTTGGTTACTTTTAAAGAAGAAAAGAACGCTTTTAGGCAAAAATGTTCGACCATAATTTGGTGGTTTATTTCAACCCACCTTAATCACTTATCAATCACGTCAAGACCCATTTATCGAAGTAATCTCGTGCGTCTCAATGAATGGCGTTGAAATGGAACTTGTCAAAATTAAAGGGGGCTCCTCAAGTTTATTCAATACACATCGGTACTAAAACGTTTGCCTTGATTACTTTTTGTATTGATACATGCCATTTCCTTAAGGCCTAGTCTCCCAGTAAGTGGAGTAAACCACTTAACATGCGTTAATGCGAGCACGGATACTGTCGCTTTCCCAACGTGAAGACAGAAGAAGGTGAAGGCTCTAGACGGTCTCTTTACTTCCATGACAGGTGAACGGTGCGTGGATGAGATCGCAGTCCCAGGGTGTGCACCCGCATCTTCAGAAGTTCAAGAAACCAGCACTTTTTCCGGTGTCTATGCGAGTCTTCTTGCGTTACCGGACCGTCAGCAGGTTCGTAAAGTGCTGATGTCTTTAGACTGTCTCATATAAAAGATAAAAAATAATTTTTATAAACGGAAGCTTTGAGAACCTGGCAAGGAAAGCGCTTTTCTGGGGATGTAACAACTCCACTGGTAAAATCAAGCATTTTTTGACGTGCAAGTTATTACGGATAACTCCCTGAGACCTCAAATAAAACTCTAAGTTGGTGGTGCTACATTCTGTGGAGTACACACCCATGTGCATGTAAATTGTTGATCCTCATTGATTACCTAGTGATCCCATGAGCAGGTTTTGGGGAGGGAAAACCGACTTTACTTAACATCTCTGCTGAGTAATACGACAAATATAGTATTCACATTGAAATGATGTCGATTTATAGAGAAACTGGCCACCATCGCATGTCAGTAATCCTTAAAATTTTGTCCAAGAGTAGCCAAATTCTAAGGAGATTCCACTATACAAACGTTGCAATGTCAATGCACGGAGAATCTAGTGAGCTGCTAACAGAAACGGTATTGACGGAATGCCTTGATACTAATACCATTCCTTCATGCTACTTCGCCTTTATTTGGAGCTACGTGTGTAGTACCTCTCATGGTCAGTGACCCAAACACTATCCTCAAGCCAAAACAAAGGCCGTATTTTTCCCGTGAAGGCGAGAAGCCGCCAATGATACTTCCGGTAGACTTTGGTGGATGCACAATCTCCTTCTCTTTATGAACTGCATCGTAGGCATCACCCTGCTTTGTCCTACTCATAGTGAACTGATGCTCTACAGTCTGCGCATTTCGTATCTGCAGAATCATTCGTAGAAAAGCAAAATCATCTGCTAAAATATGCCAATATACGATATACATTCTCTCCCACCACCTTGTTCCCATTCTAGCGCCACACATAAGTCCGTCTGCGTTCAAAACGATTATTTGGGACGTAAAGGATGGCCCTATATTCACAAAACACAGATATCTCCTAAAGGGTAGTGTAGACAGCCCTATGAATGATTTCTATTTTCATGTCTGTAGTCTCTTTCCTTGCTTGTTGTCCTGTTTATATGGCCTTACTGTTGAGTCTCCACAAATCGGCATCCTGGATAAAGGTCTTTCTTTTGTCACCTTTAAGTACGATATCCAAAATATCGGCACCATCGTTCGCTTGAAACAAGAGTATGAACCGCCATCATTCAAATTTTCCCCAGAAACTTTGCCAGAAATGCAGACCTGAGAAACAGTTGACTAATTATTCATGGAAAGGTTTATGTGCTATTAATGGAAGCGACGTAAACGGAGTGCTATGACACCAAGATGGTGTCCGGAGCCTGGAGGGACTGTGATAATAGGGCCAATTAAAACATGACTAGGAGAAATATCGTTTCATTCCAAAAAACTCATAGAATGCAATGTGAGTTGAGATGGAATTCCTCCCACTCATTGTTTTCCAATTACTCACCTTTTGACTAAAGATTGGACTGACTCGGCCTAGCTAAGCACATCTTCGCCCGAATAATTTCCCTTCTTTTCCTAAAATCTAAGCCGTAGCTAATGAAAACATACGTCCTGAAGACTTACGATGACACTTGTCAAGGTACTTCTCTGTGAGAAGAGACCGATTAACTTTAAGGAAAGTGAGGTATGCTCAGGAAGTGGTCATGTTTGAGGTACCTATGGAAGGCATGGCCCTTCGAAATGTGTCGATTGTGACTTGGATACTTCTGGGCGTTCAAATCAAGCAGTCGAATTTCAAAAGCTTTACTTTAGTGTCTTGAAACTACACAACAACGAGGCTGTTCAGTGCACTTCGTTCTTTATATTCTAAGCCTCCAATGGGTAGAGCGGAAATGTACTTAGTCTCTTCCGGGACCTAATATTGCTTTCTTTCATAGTGTATCAAGTGTAAATCAAACAACTCGATTTGGTGGGGCTCACACAACGAACAAGCCTAATTTTGTGTAGTCTTCTAAACAAAAAGTCAGGTGAATTGAAAATAAGTGTGTGCAACCTAGGTGAAACATTAAAAAGGTCGGAAACTAGGTGCATAAATGAAGTAGCTACAAAATAGTATTTAAAACTAGGATGTGAGTTTCATAGGGTGCTTGAGTGCTTACGCTTTTCTTAAAGAAAATAGTGCAACTTCGTGCTGGGGTTACATAATTTCTGGTATACTTTAGACCTATCAATGTCAGAGCCACTTCAAAAGGCACTAATACCAGGAGCTACCTCGATGATAAAGGAAGAGAGGAATGAGAACCAAATACGGGATCAGCACAATTACGTGTCAGCCATATGCTGCTTCTCTATGGCAGAAATGCCAGCCGAGTTTCCCCAATAATTTGCCTCACTGGGTAGTTGTAAATAATAAAACCTCCACTTCCCTCTAGTAAAATATCTGTACAGGTGATGGCAAATCTCCCATAGTAATCTATTTACAAATTGTTTTCCGGAGAATTTTTAACTTAAGGACTTTTTGGTGGGCAAAAATGTGCAGAGGAGATGCGCCAAAGTTGTCAGTCCCCTTGAGCCGCGTGGGAAACGTAAAGCTACGACTCGTCACTGACTTGTCTCTCGCGTGTCTTGCTGCCTCTTGTGTTCTTCCAAGCCGCACAAATGCTTTTTTCATGGACTTGTGCAAAATGTTTATTTTGTGAACAATTTAGTTGATTTACATTAAATGTCAAACTTTTATTCTAATTCAAAGAAAGGCGCTTGCAACATTCATTTACCCATTGAGCCATAACGCCTATATTCCGCAATCCAATGCAGGCACAGGTCCCACTCAAGGTTTTAGTTTCCTACTTGAAAAGTGCGATGAGGAGTTGTAAGTTTTTGAGGATAAATTTATAGACTCACTGGAAATGCATCCTTTTTACACACTCAGTAGCCAGCCCTATTGCGGCAATGGGTGTACGCGCACAGAAATGATTAAGGAGGGCTGGTGTGAATAAATAATGAATCAAGCCGCATAACAATAGACAAAGGGACATTCGTGTTTTATATCCCAAACTGCGATTTAATAATCACCAAAGGAATGCTCCGCAATATGGAGAAGCTGGATTGTTGAGACGTAAGAGGGGTACGTAGTGCCCCATGTCGTCTCTAAGGCTGACTCTGGATTAGCCATCCAGAAGGGCAGATAGACCCTAGGTATGAACAAAAATGTTTGCGCCATCAAGATGGTAGACCGAGGAGACTGGCTGTTTAAATAAACATGAAAAATGCGCTCATTCAGCTTCATGTCAGCCACGAGGCAAGAACGGAAATCCCACGATGATTTTCCACGAAAAAGCGAAGACCTATGGTTGTAGAGATAGTAAATCTTGCCAATTTCAGTAAATTTCATTTATTCCATGATATGTTAGTCAACTAGGACTTGCGTAGGAGATATTGCTAAAGGTCAGGCCATGTTCTACAGAAACAGTCTTATTTTAAGGGTGGAACTCACCTAACGATGTGTAGAGTATTTAGTTGCATCTCGGTGTTCACTCCTACTTGCCAGTGAAGTTTCTTTATACCTTTCTCAACTTCGTGTAACATGTAACTGTGTAGGAAAATCCACCTCTTCTCATTTATCACTGATTAGTTGCATATACTTATGGCGCAAATAGTTCTTTGATTGATTACAATATAGTCGTGCTTTAAAACTGGACGTGACGCCGAACGCAAGATTAGAGGCAGAAGTTGCCCAAAGTAAACTGGCTTAGTAGCTGTTCTGTCATACCCCACTATAGGTTCAGCAAGCGTTTTTCTTATATGACACTTTTAGAATAATAAACCATCCATGTGCTTTCAACATAGGTCCTCTATGGAGCGACAATGCTGGATTCCTATCCGAAAGTGTCATGAGGCTTCATAATGGGAAGTTGTTAGCGTCGATGGTGTGGGCGGAGCTCTGTGAGACTGGCAGAGAGATTGAGGCCTAGGCGACTGAAGGGATCCGCGTTACTGCTTCTGATCAGAACAACAATTCTATTGTCTGTGAGCTGTCACATTAGTGTGACGAAAAGTGTCATTCTGCCACCAACATTCTTATCACATTTCATCACCTCATTTCAATTACTCTTTAGTCATTTCACTACAAGTTTCTCCAACCATTTGGCCAATTTTAATGCCCTGGTCTCGCATAAGTATTTCATTCAAATCGTGTATAAAATGTAATGAGCATTCAAGCGGCTACGGCTGGGTTTCCTACATTAGGCTGGAAAACTATATTTGATTGTAATTATAACAACAACACCTAATGGTCTCGAAAGGGGCGGCCCTACACCTGGACTAAAGCTGACTTTGGGAAAGGTGGAATTGGCTGGGTATTTCTGTTTCGCTTACCATGCTAAATATATGGCGAATTTAGCCCCTAAAGAGGGCCCATCCATTTCAACCACACTTTTCTCTGCTGGCGGAGAATTGGCCATGAACGCAGGATTTCAGTCATTCGCCTCTCTGTCAAGTTAATTCCTCCCCGTCCTCCGCCCCTATCGAAGGGAATGAGCGGCAAATATATTTTTTTATGATCTTATCGCATCTCCTCCCACTACCGAAGCATTAATCCCCGACTGGCAACTTTTGGAGTTTTGTGGACTAGAAATAGGGATAAATTTAAGGTTCACAGTTTTGCCATTGCCTACCCCTCCCCTGCAAAAGTTGCGCCAAATTCATGCATTATTTACTCCATTTTAAGAGAAATTACAGCATCTACTTGAAGACGGTAAATCTTAAATATGTTTTAATACCTTTCGCGATTAAGAACTTGTGTATAACTTCCGCGTTCGTAAGTTATAATAACATAGACAATTTTTGCTAAATTGTCACACAGGTAGAGAAAAGACAACTTCAAACACTCTTTTTGTCAAGGTCATGTAGGCCATAAAACGTATTTATTGAGCCAATCAATAGAAGCGTCTGATTTGCCACGACCCAGTCCATATTGGACGCGGTTTCTGATTAGTTATTTGATGGAGTTAGTATTCCCGTGTAATTTCCGTCATTTCACAAAGGTGAAGGCTGTTGCAGACCGTTCATCTACCAAAATACTTACTGACTGCTGAATTCTTAGTTTGCACACATGCAAAAGACCGTATGCTTGCTCCGAGATCCAGTGATGAGATAGCTAAGCAATACTCTCCAGGGATCCGGAATCACACAACACTTTATTCTCTTGGAGGAAATAACCAGTGATTACCAAGTTAGGAAGAAGCAGCTGGGACAGTTCGACAGAAGGCCACAATCCTTTGCGATAATCGTGCGCTTGATACGAGAAGAATTTTGGTCTATTCATATGACGTTCTTGTCTTTGTTCCAACAATTCACAGCTTCTTTATCAGCATGGTTGCTGTTTTGGACTGATGTTTCTATGCTCGTGAACCGGATCCTTTCCAGCTCCTAGCCGGATAATGAATAGACAAAGATTTCTGTACAGATGTCTTTATTGCTGACGTATATATGTAAAACAGGAGGCTGAATGTGCCTGAGAGTGGGTCTGAGCCAGTAACGTCAGTTACGCGTACTTACGGTACCTGACTGGCCTTGGCTTTCGTGTACATAGCAGTACTCTTAAAGTACATTTATGGCCATCCACGTATGACGTGAGCTGATTAGGAGGGCGTGGGTGAGGACAGGGCTCTCTAGAATGTCCGAGATTAGCCAACAAACGGGAACGTTTACCCGGGTTCGCAGGCATCCCCGGCAGTGACGCCTCCAAAACACCGAATATCTAGCTGCTAGACTCCGCATGGATTCAAAACCTCCTTTCCAGAGGTCATTAAATGCAGTTTTTATCCAGCGGCCCTCTACCTTCGTATTCGGGTGCACGGTTTTAGTGAACAACCAAGTTTTTTTTGTTAAAATCGAAGACAACCCAATTAAGACTAAAGTCAAAATATTCTAACTCAAACCCTGATTAGGAGGTAGATCACTGCTGTCTAACTCGTTGCAGTAAGACGGGTTGGCTCAAAGTCATCAAATGTAAAGTGGAGTCCTATTGCTCATTTCAGGCGAGTGCAATCACCTTTGAGGTCACTGCAACTGTGGTGCAAAGCATTTAAAAGTGACAAGTTAGAGCACACAGAACCGATGTGAAGAACTGGTTGCTTACTCAGGCCTCTCGGGCTGAGAAGTCGTAGCAAGGCAGTCCCTTGTACCCGAAATAAGACGTCATAGCTTCAAACAAAAACATATATAGTTCTGTAAACCCCATTAAGCTGGTCTCCCAGTTGAATAATCGCTTTTTTGCCTTGGGAAGTATTATCACGTTTCCCATCCATGAAAGTCCTGCATGACTCGCTCTCTTAGTGTGATAAAGGATTTCACAGGATTAACGCAACCCTTAACTGACACAATCCATTAATTTCTGCCGCCAAACAGAGATAAGTAGATTAATCACAAGTGTAAAGGAAACTTCCCAGCTATTTCAAAAGGCACAAATATGTCACCGATTGACGGAGTAAAAGTCAACTTGGAAAGGACTGAGGAAGCTGAAATGGGAACACTGGAGCCTACATTTAAAATTAGGTACGTGTGCAGTCCCAAAGTCAAGAAATCCCACATGTGCCACTGCTTTACTGTTATCCACTGGTCTTTACTTGTTTAAGGCATTTAAAGTAAAGTCACGCAATGCCTGGCCAGGAAAGGCGCTAACTGTGGAATATCCAAGATTGTTCGAGAAGATGGAGCGTGTTGAACATTCTAGAGAACTCCGAAAGAGGGATTCTGTTTCTGGGGTCGCAGGCCTCCCCAGCATATACATGAAGATAAAGGAGTAGAAAAAGATTTAAGCAGGTCCATTTCTGGCATCGCTTAGGCACTGCCAAGCGCAATCGATAGGCACCACGGTGCAATTGGGTGGCACCGTGGTTGCACCAGACCGATGCATGCTTAGAACGTGCACACACTACAGCACGGGGGTGGCAATGGCATTGATATCCAACAACAAACAAGGTCAGGTAAACGCAAAATTTTCCTTACCTTGACTCTGGCAATAGTGATCTGCTTGCAAGATAGTCCTTGTTTGTTCACGGACCGCTGAGAATTAACCAGTCAGGTGAACAGGAACGTTTTGCACTTTTTGCTTATTACATTTAAAGTTGAAGTAGATCTCGCATAGGGAGACATGATCACTTTATTTACTGTCTGCGATTAGTGCCAGAAACATACCTGCAGTTGGCTGCTTTTCATACAGGCTAACAGGGCCACTGGAGTTCGTATAACCAGAAATGTCCCTAAACCGTCGCCAAACAGAACTCGTTTGCGCGTTTGCTTTTATTCGAACGAAAAAGTGTTAAACACGTATTAGAATTGCGTTTCGAAGACAGAAACGTCACCTCCCAAACCGTCTAATTTGTTCGTTTTTGCGTGGCTTGCCACCCAATTAGATCCTCCTTTGACAATAAAGGGAGCGCGAAGGCGACTGGATGCAAAGGGAGCTTCATTTCTGCAGTGACCGACGCTTTCGCTCGCCTTCTGTTCACCCATGATCGATGTAGCAGCCAGGAAAATGGGTAGAATACAGAAGATGGCGTTGGCAAGAGAAACAGAAAACACAAGGTAAATCTTACGGACCACCGCTAAGACGATAAAAGCACCAACTGTGCAGCTGAGAAACTGAATTACCGCCACGCAGATGGTGAGCTTATCCATGAAACGAGCGGCATTGGATGGAACCAGGGTGCGAGCAATCAGAGTGAGTTGGAGAAGGATACCACCAGTGCCGGTGAGGTAGCCGAGAACGCCGGAGCGGGGCGTATTGTTAGCGCTGGCTAGAGCTTCCTGGGCTATGAGAAATGCCCCGATGGCGAGAGGAAAGAGACAATGGAGAAGAATGAGAAGGATATTTGAGTTTCGGTGGATGCCACTCCGGACGGTTTGTAGGCTCTTGGACTTTGAAGGTTGAGCGTTGATGCTGTCATTGATCTGGCGTTGCTTCTTCTTGTAAAAGATCATGCTGATATGTTTATGGGGTGGTAGAGATGAAGAGTTTTGTAGATGTTAGGCGCTTCTATGTTAGCCAATGGGAGAAGGCGTGGTGACCTCCCGCATGTGCATCGTTCTCTCTAACGATTGTGCAAGTGAGCGCGTATCAAGAGCTCAGACATTCCCTTTACAAAGGATAAGTAGGGGTTGATACCTGAAAATTGTACACCCTTACGTCCTGGCCACAGGAAGGGGAAATTTGAATTGCAACTATTTGATCTCATTTTAGCCAATATGTCTGGGGTTGGGATGAAAACAAAGGACAAATATTTACTTTTTTAAAATACACCTGTACTATAAAACTTCCACTCAAAGTTCCCATTTAAACCCATCCTTCACCAGCCAGAAGTTTAATCTCAACCATTTCGGTCCCTGGAATGGCTAATAGAGCGAAATGGGGATCACTATGAATCATGAGAAATTAGCGTGATTTACGACAAATGTGGTTTCCAAAACAATGACTCAAAAGAATGCGGGAAAATTACAAATAGTTCTTACAGAATGGTCCACTTCCTACGGAATTCTAAGGGTTTTAGTGCTTATCATCAGAAGTTTCTAAGGAAAATCGCCCCTTAAATAGTCAGTTAAGACATTGAGATGACATTCAACGTTGCCTATTTCCTTGTGATGCATTAAACGGCCGACCTAATGAAGGAGAAATTACTACAGTTAACCGGATAATCATTGGATCAGAAGTCGTCATTACATTTTGATAAACTGAATCCTAATGTGGTAGTAATTGATGCCTACGTTATGAAGGGAAAATAATAACTCTAAATGCATGAATGCTTATTTTCAAATTAATCCTGACGTCCATGGTATGGTTTATGCAGATACCGAAAGGGAGAACACTGCGTTGGCGTTTTCAGTGAAAATCTCTCGCTTTCATCGTCACGCAGACGTGAAAGTAACGCCTACACGGTCTGGGGTAAAACTGATAAACGGATGAATTACACAGTAAGCAACTGTCTGTAATAAAGATTTTATAAGGGTGCCAAGCATGTGCTTTCATAGATGGGCATAACTTGGCCTTCTAATCAAACCTTCCTCGTAAGTTTGTGAGTAAGCCATTAAAATATCCCCAATAATATTAATTTTACTTATAAATACAAGTAGAGCAAGAGGCTCATGCAAGGCTCAGGAGTGAACTACAGATTTTCTACAAACTAATGGTAATAGCACGCCTACGCAGACAGGTGATGGCGGGTGAAAGCGGAAATATGCATGCAGTACGGCTTGTGGAACAGCTTTTAAATAGCTACATCTGCAATGACTAGCTCAGAATAGCATCGCACATTGAAACAACTGTGGAGGTGATATTGACGACCCAAGAGTGAATGCATGACGATACTTATACAAATTACAGTAAATGCTCCAGACTTTACTGTTCTTTTGCTCATTGGTGAATCGATTGAGATTGGATGCCACCTGCCAATGAAAGTTTAAAGCGCCAGTCTACCTATTTGAGAAGTTAGGTCTAGTTTATAGGTCAAGTGGGGGTTAACATGGTCCAACAATTTCAGGAAGACAGCAAAACAACGCAAACAAGATCTACGAGGTTATTTAAAGTGGAATGCCCAAACCGGCTTTACAAACACATGCTTTACAGCTGTCAATTATTACATCAAATGTACTATGTAGCAATAACTACTCAGGTATGCGGAATAGGCAAGTATTGCGTGACCAAGCGCAACCAACTATCCAGCTTCCTTTTGAATTAGCCAGAGCTTAACAAAAACGCAAACTACTTACTAAGTGGATAGTCTAGTCATTAGATAGTGAATTTTAAGGTCCCAAACTGCCTTACTTATATTACGAGAAACTCGAATTTGATTAGGTTTTTCTATCTGGGTGACGTTCTGAGACTACGAGACTGACTCGGGGTTGTAGGGTCAAATGGAAAAGGTCCACTAACCAAAAAGTAGACTGAAGCTTCTGACAGTGGAAAAAAGGTGGAATAACTAAAATCAGTAATTGAAAATCGTCTGGAATGGCACACCCATTAACAAAATCGTTTTTACGCCATTATCAAAGCTACCTTTATGAATCACATTGCGGAGAGAAACATAGTTCATTTCTTGGTGGCTCAGTTACTCCCAATGCCCCGAGAAGGCATCTGAAAGGTGCCTGGAGGAAGTTTTGCTGTTGACATACCTTTATGTCCACAATGTGATGGTGGAGTCGCGAGGGCCTGAAGAGAAGAGCCTAGTTAAAGGCACAATTACAGCATGTTGGATGGAACGCAAACAGTTTGAAATAAGAGTGAGCTAACAAGTCGATCCAATTTTTGTGCATGGAAACGAAGAAAAGCTTCTGAATAGCGACTCAAGTGAAGCACATAAATCCATGGTTCTGTCCCCCATCTCAGAGCGATAGCCTATCAGTCGTACCTGTAGCTGAGTTGGTCTGCATTTTTATTCCATTCTCATTGGTACAGTGCTGGAATGACAACATAACCTGATCTAGATGAACAGCCATCCTGATTTAATCGTCTGGTTACGACGGCTATGTGGGCCGTCGAGGCTCCGATCGCATATTCTGCAATGTGATCAACAAGAGCCAATCACAGCCCGATTCGAAAACATTTCTTCGGGCACTGTTTACGAATTTGCCGAAACCCAACATACATCGCGATTCAACAACGCGATACCGCGCCTCCGCATGTTACTACCAAAAGCAAATGAAATGTGAAGCATGCTCGTCAGTGAGCACTGTCCAGCCTCTAGTGTTATTTCCTAAATGAATTTTTCCCCAATACCTTACGCGAAATAAATGATTCACTTAGAGACCCAAGCTGAACCAGGCAAAATCGCCATCGTGATGTCCATTCCCCCTGTCATCCTCGGACTTTGACCCGCCACGATCTCAACAAAAGTGTCCGAGAGAAGCACCAGAAATGACGCTTCAAGAGTTGGTAATCACGTAGTCCAAAGGTGTCAGTTCAACTATTTATTTAACCACATGGGGTCTTCAATCTTCGCGGATCCTATCACCGCCTTGGTGGCATCCTCATCATTCCTTCACACCAATCATTACGTACGCCAATAACAAATTCTTCTTCTGCGATCATACGCCAGAGATGATTCGGGGCGCTACATAAAACAGGAAGACAAATATCAAAATACGACGGCAAGGAAAACGAGTGATTGCTGTCTTCGAAGAATATAATTCAAGTGAACAAACTATTAGACCTATGGGTATATACATGTTGCTGTTTAAATGAAAGAAAAGGGAAGGAAAGATAGAAGAATACACATATAACACATTAGAGCAGGTGGGGAGAGAATTAAAGAAGCGAGAGATCAGCAAAAGAACCGAGTGGTAGCAGAAATATGGCAAACCACAAATTAAGCGCAAAAAAAAGAAAAGAAGGGGCCATTTTCGGTGCAAACAACAGCAGAAAAAGAATAAGGAGAAAACACATCACTGAAAGCACGGGGTATAAACAAAGCCGAAAACACTGAGATAGGTAATGGGAGGCGGGAAGAATTCGAAAACTACTTAGGTGCTTCGAGAGCAAGAAGATGGCATGGGGAAGGTTAAAGAACAGCCGGACTGCACCAAGCAATACGGCAGCATCACCACTGTTGGCGACGGCAACAGACGGTTCCGTAAGTTTCACACTGCTTAGGTCGCGTCCCTGACACAGACGCTTTCGTGAGGGAGGTACACATTCGGAGGAAGAATTACTAGTATCTCCCGACGACGCCCATGTGGAAGTTCTACTAGACCAATGTAAACCACCTCCGCCTCTCGGTGAATCAGCCGAACAGTTTGAAGAGGCAGAAGAGGAAGTGGCGGAAGTGGAAGGTGACGTTGTGTCACCGTCCAGACTAGCGGTCTCGGAGTAACGTCTGGCACGTCGGCGGTAGCGACGGCGGGGTGTGGAGGGAGGACTTTCAGTTCCGGTGCTAGTGCTAGCACTAGAGGCGACAGATTTCATACCCCGACGTACCATACCGTGAGGAGGGAAAGAGCGATTGCCACGGCTCATCAGATAGTCCACAATGCGCACGTCGCGAAGACGGCAGCGACCACCCTGCTGGAGGTGGTCCAACACGTCGAAGGCACGCTCGATGCCGGAGAGGAAAGCACCGTGGGTGCACTGCTGTCCGCCCTGACTGTCGATGGTCCCCTCGCCGGCAAACAGGAGGCGTGGCCGGCCCTACCCATGCGAGAAGGAGTTGTGCTAAGTGATTAGCTAATCAGTAGCACATAAGATAGCCAGTTAACAACAAACACTAACACCACAACATAGCAAATCTTTTGAATGTAAATTAAACCCCATTGAGAGTGGAGGTTACTCTTTTTGATAATTTGTCCTTAGATAACATAAAGGGCTGCAACAACAAAATGTCTACTTTGACCTCGCAATTGATTGTGCATGTCCCCACCTTCCCTTCAATTCAACCGCTTTACTCGTCATTTCCATATTACTGGTCTCTCAACTGAAAAGTCTTAAAAAGTCTTTAGGAATAACTGAGGTTATAAGAAGGAATTTAATAACCCAGTGGTTACTTTCAAGGAAAAGGTGGCATATTCAAAACTTCAACGAGAAGTAATGAAGGAGACTCGAGTTTATGTTTGACCACTAACATTCTACCATCAATTTTCTGGCTTCTAATTGTGAAGATGTATCATCACCATTACCATCACAAACGTTTCAAGCTTACGAACTAATTTGTGATTCTAATCTTGCCTCCAGAATGATTTGTTATTTACAGGCGATGAGAATCAAAATCGAAGCACCAGCGGAAAAAATCTTTCAACGAGCGAGGGCGTAATTAATGGCACTGTAGTAGTCGCAATGGTAGTCTGAAGTACTCCACTCTAAATCGCGGGATTAATCTTGAGGGAGGAGCAAATCGTGTAGTTGACAGATCCGCGGTAAAATCAATAATGATGACGACTGTCATGGAGAACACTTAAGAAATAGCCACTCATCCTTGCTGATTTGACACAATTGTGGTCGTCTGAAATAAATAGAACGGGTGGATAAAAAGCATTGCGTATTTTCATTACCTAATTCAGGAGAGCCTCCTTAAGCGACCTGAATGGACAGACAGCTGCATGTTTGAGAACACATTGATACATACGGCGGAATTTACTGCTATCACTGCTGAACAGTGATTCTACTTCGGCGCAGTTAGGACGATTCAGATAAGGGCCTCTATCAAGAAAAACGATAATTGTGACGTTGTCCCTACTAGCCTCTCACAAGGTCACCTTAAATCTCCCAATCCCAACCCAAAACCTATCAAAGAGTACTTCCTTCATTGCTCAGAGCTGATGCGAATCATGCCATCCCACACACAAGGTACCTGACTGCATGTCCAGTTGCCTAATCCCTGTCTTGATTTTTAAGACCCGTGGAAATGGCACACAGCTCTGTGATCGCATTTCAGCAGACACAAAAGCAGGAAATACACTATACCCGATGCCCAACTTCAGAACACTGATTGTGAAGTTGTTCTCACCCGTCCTTATAATTACTTAGTCGCTTAAAATATGGCTTCCAAGTAAACTAACCGAACGCAATACCCAAAATCTTACTTTTGAAAGTAATGTGAGTTCAAAACTTCAAGTGAAATGATTCAAATAAAGTCCTCATTAATCTTCCATAGTGTCATACGAAATCCATCAAGCAGTGGTGCCCGAGTTTTTCCTTCAGACACTGTAAAATGCGCTTTTGGGGGCAAAAAATTTACTAAGAGATATAAGTGATATTATGAAAGTCCTACTGCTGATAGGGTCGGGTGGCCAAAAGAGTTCGCACAGTTTTAAATACACCCCACTAGGCACTTACTGCAACTCGCAAATGCATGCGATTGCTTCAACTGCATGAACTATAAAGCATACGCACGGTACTCTTCACTGGGCTCACCACTGCTTTTCCGATCTTTCAACCCATTCCTGTATCATCAAATGGCGATTGAGTATAGTGGGTGTGAATTGGATCCGCCTGCTTTGCAAACTGGGTTTAATTGGGCGGCAGGGCTACAGAAGTTTTGCGCCTAACATTTGGAGGCGAGATAACGAGGCAGCGAGAAGTGCAGCCCGAAACTGGTCAAAAACAACTCGATTTTGCTGGTGAATCATCCCCAAAACACAGGTGCATTGTATTTAGTAAAAACCTCCACTCTGGGTAGGAATGGGGAACTACGTGTCACTACTGCTGAGGGGAAATCGAGACTTGCGGGAAAGGAACTCCATTGAAAGCAGTGTTTAACGTGGGGGATAAAACATAAACTGGGAGTAAAGTCGTTGAAACTAGGCAAAGGCGTTCCATTGACCATGCACATTTAACTGATGACAATAAGTTTTAAAGCCAGTCAGTTTATCCATCAATTCTTTCACACACCCTATAAAAAAGCATGGCTAACTGACTGACTAGTGATGAGAAATGAACTTCGTGATTTTACGTTTCAACGTTATTCAAGCGAAATAAATCATCAGTGATCAGCCCAAACGACCCGCCACCCACCTCACACTCATAAACCACTCGTCACGTCAGTTCCACAAAACTATGCTTCGTGTTTGCAGGTGCAATGCACTGCAGGAGCAATTTTCCACTTGTTGAAGGCCAAGTAATTACGTTTGAGACACATCTACTCAATACAATTAGTAGAAGCCCGAATGCGTGCGAAGAATTCGCTCTCCTCGAAAAAACAGCCAGGACTAGTCGATCGGTCAGGAGAATGTCCTAAGCTTGCAAGACAATATGCAAGACTTCATACCACCCACCCCATATCTCAAAATTTACCAATGGGATTCACACTTCACTTAAAAGAGGAGGAGGATGCTACTTCACTTTATTCTTCGTACTCCACTTATATTTCTCCAAGCTATGGTTGCTGCCCTTTTGGCATTAAACCATAGGGTCACACACGAAATAGAATAAGGCGTTAATCCTGAGATAAAAGTGGCATAGAAACGGCGATGGCTAGGGTTCGGTTATCGCTTGGCTTTTAAAGACAAAACATGAACAGACACGTTAGTCATATTGAGGGTGCGGCGATTTGCAGCTTCAACCAAAGAAATGTAGAATCTGCTCGAGTCAACGGCGGCGCCTTGAGGAACGGTGATAGGTCGAATGTCACGTTGAGGCAGGAACAACTAAGTCGCAGCCTTCTGGGAAGTCATGTGATACTTGTACGAGTGCTACTACCTTTTTAAAACTCATTCAGATAAAGTCAGTTTTTCATGAAGCGTAGGCTCTAACTTATCCCCGAAACTAACAAGGTTAAAACTGCGATTAAAAAAGAGATCGCGAGCTTCGGAAGGGTTGCTGACGTAGGAGGGAATAACTTCTAGCACTGTCCATAGGTAGTTTCCGGCAGTTCCAAGTAAGGTCTGTGATTTGGATGGCCAATAATCGAGAGGCTCTTCTTTTTATCAATTAGCGATAAAATCAAATGTCTGCAGTGTTTGTAAAAATTATTTTCCTCCGGTTTTCTTGGATGTATGGTCGACGGTCACTGAAGTGGCATTCTAGAGGCCGTGTGCTCAGCTCTGGAGATAACGCCCCACGAACAGTGTCATAAATGTCTTTTAAAGCAGTACTTACCTTTTTGACAATTTTTACAGAATGTTACCATCCAAATCACCAGAGAATAGAGAGCTCAATGACTTTCTCAAAGATCTTACACAGATGTAATATGGCAACTAAAAAAGGGGAATTCAACTGGTGACTGTGCAAACAGGTTGAGTATTTGACCATTTGGCGCATTAGCTGAAACCAAATTTATTCACGGAGTAGAGCCATGCAAAGTGAATTGCAGACGAAACGCTAATATATAAAACTTAAGTAGATTGGCAGCTTTTGTATATGATACCTTCAGAAAGGAGACCATATGCTTGATTATGGCTTATATAGAATCACAGTCACCAAGGCACACAGGTAAGTGGTACATAAATGAAGGTCAAACTGCAGTCACACTTTACATAGAAGGTAATCACCACCTTCCATAGGTAGGGCGTTGTTGGATTTTGTACGAAGGTGTGGTTATCGTCATTGATTTGTTCAATTTAGCAGACGAAGAAAGCCACCACTTTAAGATGCAGTAAATTACGTGCATTATCAATGGATGCATACACATTATTTTTAGTAAGACATCACATACGGGATGAAATGTCCAGTTTCTTTCGGCACTACGTTTGAGTCGAGATCGCCAGAATATCTTACCTCGGCTAATTCCAGTTCCTGACTGTCATGCTCCAAAAACGCATCATCACCGTTGTCACTTCAAACGCGCTGGTTTGAAAACATTTTTGCTGAATTGTAATTCAAAAGTACTTCTGACATTTTATCACGCAAGTTTGACAGTGGTTACACCTCACATAATAGAAATGATAAACATCAATCCCAACCGTTAAATAAAAACACACACCCGTTCGATAAATTCCATTGGCATTGGTTCATTCACAGTCAATTTACGGTAAAAACAAAGCAACCGTGGCAAAACCATAGATAAAAAAGAATTTGTTTCAACTTAGCTCCCTAATGGTAGTCGAGTACGTGGAACTATTAAACACTAACGAACAGATTGCTTGACGGACAAAGGTACGAATTGGCCAATTCTATCCAAATAAAGAGCTTAATGGATAGTTCTTCTGCGATTGGGACGGTGAATAAAGTTTGGCTGAAGACAGACTAAGGTAAACATTTCATTAGACGCATATGATGCAGTTGATTGGTTTGTCACTGCAGCGATCTATTTATGCACTCCAGATACCGACCCTTGCAGTGCTAATGCCTCCAGAGGCACAGAGATTGTGAATCTGTGAATCCGTGAAATTGAACATTTACCCAAGTGGACCCTCCCAGACGCTAGTAACATAAAGTAAGTAACCCGTACCTATACACCTGGTTTCCTACCCCTTCCTCATGCCTATAATAGCTATGTCGAGAGCAGTATGCCTTTCGCTCCCTTCTGAAAGATAACTCGAGTGCCAAGAATTTATGGAGAGAGGGAAAAAGAAAGGAATAACCTACTTTGTCGATAAAAAAAATTTGAACTCCCAAGTTAGCACAACTGATACAGGCGAGGGGTGTTGACTTAGCATGCCTCACCTCATCATCCCAGGCTTAAGAATGAGCACCGTTTAGGCAAAGAAGCGAGGGAAGAAGAAGAGGACTCTCTTTTGCTGATCAGTATCAGAAACTCCGATTACTCCAACCTGCAATGATTACCAATTCAAATGGCCCATGCCTATTAATTCAATAAAAGGTGGAGAGTGAAAAGGGCTCTTTCCCAATGGTCAACAGCATTGGAAACGATAAGTTTCCCCTATTCACAACGGGTGGGATTGAGAAACCCGAGCATGTAGGCATTTAAGAACTCGTACAGAGAGTATTCTCTGTCCGTGATCCACAAACATCCTGAATAACAATTATTCTTCGGCGCGCAATGGATAAGACGATAGTTGTTAGTGTGTCTCTATGACATCTAGTCAGGAATTGAAATTTCGCGATTTAGAGCAAAGCGAGGAAGGGGAGAACTTGCTGAGGGATAAAAAAGTGCAAGAATTAGAAATTTTCCTTCAACTCACAAGGAGAGGAAGGCTCTGAGCGTACGCGCGCCTATCCTCGTCGCCACAACAATTCGGCTCCCCTGCAGTGTAAGCACCCAGAGCGAAGGGGTCCTCCGACCATCGCGTAACGTGGGTAAAGATGGGCTGTGGCAGGGGGTGAGAGCTGGACTTCTTCTGGTACATGCCGGCGAGGAGGTGCATCACCTCTGCCACCACCTCCGAGTCTGTCCGACCGGCTAGCACCATTGGCGAACCGCCCCACACGTGACACATTAGAGTACCCCGATGGCCAAGGAGGTCCAGATTTAGAGCATGCAGTCGTCCGCCAGAGCTGTTTATTTGGGCCGCGGTTCGGTCCCAGAAGACGTCCTCGGGGCGAAAGATGAGGATTATCTAGTAAAGGAGACGATAAGATTAAAAAATAGTGGGGATGAATGAGTGATAACGACCATTGGATGTGCAGTCAGATCAACCTTTCAGAGATTCAAAGGTAAAGCCACTCTTTGAGAAAGCCCATGATTCTTACGTGTTTCACTCTGTTGAACGATGCTCACATAACGCCAGGAAGTGTGATATAAACAAAGAATTTAAGATTATCTAGCATAATTTATCAAGTCCTCGAAATGCGACTTAGAAGATTTGTTATGAAACGCCTGGTTGTAGACCACTTCCCAACAACAGAATTGACTAGAGGCCTTCAAGGTGACCTACGGCAGCAGTTAATGGAGAACTGTGATAGCAACGGTTTCAAAAAAACAATTTTAATGATACATAACACTCAACCTATGAGAATGTCTTCACTAACCACTGAAGTTCATTATCACGTGCATCCACATTAGATTTCGCTTCCTAAATTGAGTTGGTTAGGCTCTTTCTCAATCTGTTAGTTAAAGAGGTAGTGTAGTAATCAAATTTAAAAAAATAATCATTTATTGCATAAAACATGAATTCATTCGGTCTGCAACGGACCTTGAATGAGGTTTGAGTGATGGAAGAGACAGGAAAGCGACACGCTTAGGTGAATTTGAAACTTATAAACAGTCTCTTAAAAGGATTCTAAGCGTAAATGCGCTGGGTATGAGTGAAACTAGGAAGATGAGAAAACGCTCTTCCTTTTTTCGGCTAGGATAATTTCGACTATAGGTCCTTCCCTGAAATCGGAACATGTAGAGAATCACTTTTACACATTCATCATCAATTCACAGCGCTCGACGTGAGTTAATAGATCCGACCTCGCGACAGTGTTTTTGAGTTGGTTCAACCTTCTTCCCTAAGGCAATATGGGGCAGAATGAGTGATCAAGAGCAACAGAAAGGCCTCGGCGATATCGAAAAAGGACATAGCAATATTAGCATTAAATTGGAATTCTATTGAAACTTCTACTACTTTATTCAGTAAAATGTACTAGTTCTACAAAACAAACATGAAACCCCGTCCAAAACGCAACCTCAAGAAGCTCTTCATAGCGAAAGCAACAGGAAAGCCACACGATTAGGCAAATTCGGAACCTAGAGGACAGCAATTCAAGATAAACATCTCTAAATCATGCAAAATGATTCAATGAAATGGTGTGAAGGAGACATTTAGCATTTTTCCCAACAAATAACTACCTAGGCTATCCTTGATGCGACCAAGTTTCCTGGACTTGCTTAATAGTGATCCTTGGGTTCGACCAAGACCAAAAACATTTTAAAAAATGATTCCACGGAAAGCGTAATTTTGCGTTTTTAGAGGATATTTCTTTCCTCTAGTTGCAGGGTCTATCAAGTTGAATTTGCAAGTTTCCTTCAGTAGGATCAGTCTTCACAAGCGCTTCAGTAAAGCTGCTTCAACAGCATCTGATTTGAATATAAAACATTTAAATCGCCACTTCCATTGTGACAGTGCTATCAATGCTCTTGTTAGAACACTGCAGAAGTAAAAGTAACACTGCTATGAAAATAAATTGGTGTTGCGTCAATTTCCAGGCGCTTACTAACCACACAGCGATCAAAACATGTCGATAACGCTTTAATTATAGAAAACAAAGCCACCCGTTATTTGAAGCAGTTCTTCCACTTACCAACGTGGGATCCATTATTCCCCTGTTTCAAACCTAGCATATAAGAAATTCACCTTTTGCCTCAATTACATTCGGCCAATAAAGCAGACAAGGCCAATTAACAGATACCAGGCGTAATGGACCTTTTGTGATATAAAGGCGAGTTTAGAAATAGGAGGATATTTGAGAGGCATAATAAAAAGTACCCTGCCACCTACACTTTATGAATTACGCAGACGAACAATCGCAAAAAATTTACGACCCCTTACAAGTTATTGTTAAACACGATTGCAAACGGTAACGGGATAGCCTCGAACACAAAGTCTGCGTAATGACTTGCCTTATTGTGCGTAGCAGATCCCGAATGAGGGATTCCCAAATTATCAATGGCTTTGCGCTTTCTTAACGGCAACGCAGGCACAAAGGTGACAGCACTCTCATGGCGCAGGCCCTTCAGCACTCCTACCGGCAAAGTAACGATGCAGAAGGGTGCCACAAATACCTCTCCGGTAGCCGTCTCCACGCGTACCTCATCGGGCCGCGTCCAATCCACGCGACGCACCACCTGGCCCAGACGGACATCCATCCCATGGGCGAGGAAGTCGGTAAAGCGAGCAAAACCGGAGAGCACCAGACGGTCTTCAGTGCGATGGCGTACCCGCCGCGGCCACCCACCGACGAGAGGACGAGTAGCAAGGAAATCCCGCTTCTGCTGGAGCCAGTCGAGGCAGGCTTGACGCTCGGCAGCCGAGGGGCGTTCAGGGTCGTTAGCCAGGCCGCGCAGGGCGTCGTGCTCGTAGAACTCGCCTAGGTCGAGGCGAGCGGGAAGACGGGAGGCGGGGTTCACGTAGGCGATGTAGCGCGCAAAGAGGGCATCGAAGATACCGCGCTCACGGTCAGAGAGCTCGGGAGAGTCACGCTGACCACTCTTGTAGAGCACATCGATACTCTCATTTAGGGCTCTGAATGAGAAGAGAAAGTGAACTGTAAAATTTTACCAGCGTCGTCGAAGCTCGTTTAACAGGTCTTCTAACCATGCCCCACCTTCTAATCTCGGATGTGAAATTCACTCTATTCCGCAAGTGTACATTTGAAAGAAAGGCACTTCCGGAAAACCTTGATCTCGGCAATAAGAGAATTTCCCCCACATAAATATTCTGAAATGCACAGATTGAAAGCAGAAATTGTGTTAAAAAATAATACATAGGGAAACAGCTACACATTGAATTTATTCACAGAGCTCAGAGAGAAGGGTTTAATGAAACCCAGTTACACGGATGGCCGTAGTTCAAGAACTAGGACAGAAACTCAAATAGAACTGAGCGTTATAAAAATAATGAAAGAGGCTTTAAAGTTTAATAATGAGCCTACGACTTCAACACTTCCTGACCTCAATATAAAATAGATATTCAAAGAATGGAAATGGAAGCGTGGGAAAAAAGTTCTGTCAACTACATATGAGGAGAAACTATTGTTCAAAAGCGAGAAGTAAAATCTATATTCACACAAAAATAGACGTAGATTTTCAGACAGAAGCACAGTGCTTAAGTTCGTGTAAAGGAGTGAATTTACGTACGCATAATCCAATCATACCTAGTGAATACCATTGCCTAACATTTGGATTTTGCACAGAAGTCAGCTAAATTGAACATCAAGTATCAAGAAACACAACGGATTAATATTTTACATTCAGGAGACAGTCTAAACTTAAAACGATTTCAACGTTTTACATCTCAGGCCCGTAGGTAGGAATTTAAAGGACAAGTGTATAAAATACACATTGTCCAAGTGAATTCGGGTAGTCAGTGCCCGCAGCTTAGGAGTATAGGGCAAAACGAAGGATGACAATTCAGTCTGAATTGACTCCGCAGGTTTGCCACTTAAATGAAAGCATTTCCAACATGTTCGATTACAATAGTAAAGAAGGCAGCGACAATTCTAAAAAAAACGGCCTCAGCGCAAATTGCTAAAGGGTTCCCTCAATCAACACCTGAAAACTGAAGATAACACCGGGGTTTATGTATGCGAATACCATTCTGATTCACAAAGATCACATACAAATGATTGATGAAGACCGACTAATCACTATATTCGTTTAAGGAAATCCGCATCGCAAGCAGAATTGATAAATAGCTCAGAATCAAAACAGGAGAGACTGAACTCGAACAAATGAATTCCAAATTTACTTAACAAATAGCATACTTGAAGAGGAGATCCATATGAGAAAAGTCTATAGATAGAAACGGTGCTTACAAATCCAGGACATGCGCCAAACTGAGAGGTTTGAGTGGGTTAGAAGAGGCTTCTTTGGATGTAAGCATGAGCGAATGCAGAAGGCATCGATCGAGAAGGAAGCTCATCTGGGCCACCTGCCCAAGGTCGATCTTCTCCCCGGTCTCGGGATCCCTCCACACGGCTACCTCGGGACACTCCCAACCCCGATAGGGCCCTAAAGTATCACCAGGGCAGGTAATGCTGGTGATTTTGAGTCGATGGGCGAGAGCGAAGAGAGGTTGCACCTCCTGGTCACTGCAACAACCGTGTAGGTAGCTGGCACCCAGATCGATAGGGAAGGAGGGTCGGTTGTCACCGAGTTGAGGAAAGATGGTGTGAATGCGGCCACCGTGGCGATCACGGGCTTCGAGCACGATCACACGGAGCCCCTCTTTGGCGAGGACCTTGGCAGCCGCGAGACCGGATATTCCGGCGCCCAGAACAACCACGTCGCATGTTTCCACCATTCTGAAATTCGGGAGGCAAAAGAAAAATACCAGTCTCGTTCAAAGTCTTACTAGACGGTAATTGCAACTAAGAGGCTTGAAAGTAAGTTAAGCAAGATAGAGTGGGAAAATGAATTTAAACAACCAAGAAGGCGGACGAATGCAAATAATTCAATGTCGACCACAAGAACGACGAGTAAACATTGGTAAGTTGATAAGTATTACAAGTAGACTACGAGTAAGAAGGCAGTAGAAAGCCGGATTTTTTTACGCTCGGGTATTGGTCATAAATAAGCTTATCTAAGTGGATGAGAGGACCGTGACTGTGTTTTAGCATTCCTCAAATTCTGATTTTAAAAGTGGAATGTATATGAAACAAGACTTGAAAAGAGGTTAAGAGAGCATAAGTGGGCGGGAGACGCTAAACACAACGCGAAGCAATAAAAGGAAAATTATGCTGCAATACAGCAGTGTCGATCAGTGCATGAAAAAGGCTCGAGCACTACTCCAGGAATTACCGTTTGAAAAAGTGAAACGAGCAACTAGACGGGTACCACGCTAGAAAGAATTCACGATTGCTAACACACATCAAACACGTAAAAAGCATCTTATATTTGGGTAACACAGGTATACGCGGGTTAAACATAGCTTTTCAAGGACTCCGGAAGAACGAAGAGATTACGAAAATTTCCGATAATAATAAAATAAGCAATTATGACAGACACACAAGAGCACAGTCAAGCAAATGCACAGAGCTCACCACTTTCCTTTTCCAATTGGCTCTGATGCCGAGTCAACGATGCTAAGCGCGCAACGTAGGCGTTGTTAAACTATTCAGGTTCAAAATGCACAAACGCGTATTAGCCCTAAATGCGAACGCCAATTGAAACATAAGGGTTATCTAATGAATGGCCAGGTACTTTAAAAGAAAAAATACGCTTCCTTAATTTATTTTCAAAAAAAGCTTCATGTACCCGGAACAACTGAACCCCAAAAGTCCCAACTCCTGTCAGAAGTAGATCTCCTAGATTGACGTGCACAGTATTATTCGAAGGAAAATGGGTGACATGTAGAAAGTAAAAGGCCAAAATTACGCACCGACTTAAATAACTTTTCCAATACTCAGTTACGCTACAAGGTAGTTATTAATAAATTTTGTGAATACGTTTTAATACACCAATTTAGGCATATTATTGGGTAGAGGAATCGGCCCAATCAGATATCTGGCACGTTTATTTTCGTATCACGACTCCTTTCTTACTTAATTCGTATGTCAACTAAATGAGTCTAGAGGATGTGGTGAATTGTTTACAGAAAATATTTTCTCCACTAACATCAAATGCTGACCGCACGCTATGCCACCAGGTTTTAGTATTTGTGACCACCAAACACATATGTTAAGGTTACGGAGGATTACAAAGAATCGGGTTTTAAGTTAGGCGATCTTGAATACTTCTGCTCATCAGAGCAGGAAGCCCCTGTGATACTTTTCGGCCTCAAATGTCTCGAACACAGAGTGAAGTATGACCCTATTTCTCTAGTTACTATAGACGGAAATGGGCGGCTCTGACCACGGAAGAAAAGCAGGAAATTCGTCACTGTATATGCCGCTTTGTCACCAATGTACTGTTGTAATAAGTGCAACATTTGTTTAGGTTGACAACATGATGTGCCGAAACAGCGAAAGCAATGCTGTCTGTCTCTCTGTAACCCAAATATTGGTTCACTTGATAAAATGTGAGTGGCCTCAGAAGTGGCCATTAATGATTTCAGAGCTTATTAACATAGGAAAGAATGGGGTAAGGTCCATTTGCAGTTCCACTGCCTAGATACTACAATCTCTCGTCGTGTTTGATATTTTTCGTCGACTATCAGAAGACATTTTATTCTTTCCCGACGTTCCTGTTAAACGCCGTCGCGAACTATGCGCGGTGCTTTCGGACAACGTGCCGCAAATCACAAATTTTGCACTTGATTCTATATTTTCTGCCGTCAAGTTTCATACGTCGTTAGTAAGTTGAGTTTTGTTTTGTCTCATTATAATACCCAAGGAAATTGACTTCAACGAAGACACGGTTAATGCTCTGCGGTCAGCACTTATGCTTCTATCCACGCTCTTTGAATGGTGCAACCTAATGCCCCTAATTGAGTGGAGGGCTCCCGAACAGTTTCCCTCGTCCTTGGAAACCGTACGGAGTATTCAACTCCTTCTTCTTCTTCTTCGTCTCCCAAAACTACGCATTGAAGCAGCTGATATCTTGGGTGTCATGCTCACCAAGAAGCAGTCCGATGCGGTAGCAGAAAGGAACAAGTCGGTTGACAACACTCTCGCATATACCCATTTCTTCGCATTTACCGTCCCCAGCGATCAAAACCCGATTGATATAATTCTAGACATTTCCAGGTAATTTTAAACCACTGAGTTTATCATTGACTAGATCTGCATTTACCATGACGGAGTTCGACGAGAATGCCTGTAAATTTATGCGTCGATGGTCGGAGGTGATTTCCCTATTGGGTACTCAGGTTGTTGACGACTGGGCATATTTCGAGGGCAAGGGTCCAGCTGCTCTTAAGGCTTTTGACCTTCTCATCCAGGCAAACGTTTTTGCTGCTGCTCATCCTTCCAGAGTAGGTCAGACTGATATTGACTTCGATCTTTTCTCTCCTTCTAGTCATTCGCTATCTCGGCAGGGGCCTTCTTCAAAGCGGTTTTATGCTCCAAACGTTCTATACTTTTATCTTTGCTTGCTAAGTACATGCCGAAATTACTACCAATTTGGATGGACAACATGGTTATTGTAAGGGAATTTTTTGTACTAATTCTTTCTTGACTCCTTAGCGATCGTTTCCCGCTACCACTGATCCTGTATCCTCCTGGTTTTACGCAAACTGTGAAAAGGATGACTATTCAGACTTCCTGACCAGTATGTCCATTGTGTGTGACATCGTACATCTGTAGAAACAAGAAGCTACGTAAAATTAAACTGCCTTCTTTTTTCCGCATCTCTGTGGCCCACAGAGGTTCTGCGCTATCTAATTGATTGGCACAAGCGGATGCTGGGGGAAGTTCCTAAGCCAGAAGGTACGTTGGACTTTTACCCTTTGTCCTGTTCGAATGATTTGTGTGATCGTTACAAGTTTTTGGTGAAGGGTATAAGAAGGGCCCTTTATGGATTTGTTTAGTGATAAGCTTTTAAAAACACCTACTGGGTACTTGCTCAAGGAGTGGTGTAGCATTTTTTTGGGCGTTTATACTGCCTTGCGCATTTTTAAATTTAATATGGTAAATTTAGAGGTCTCCACCAAGTACTACTTTAGGTTTTGTATCCTTTCGGTTTCACTGGAAAGGACTTCATAACCTATTTCTCCTATCTACATTGACATTGTAAACCCTAGATATTGCATGGTTTTCTGCAAGAATGGCTTAAGCCATTTGCTGCTTTCTGGTATCTTCACATGGTGATATCAAGTAATTTCGATTCCACCTAGATTTTTGAAAATTGTGTATTGGCTAATAGTTGAGACATACCAAAAGGTTGCACTTGTAAATACCAGTGGTGATTGTAACGACGAGTTTATCACCCTTATTGTGTAAACTTTTATTGAAGTTAAAAGGCGGAATGTCGCAGTATCACGATACTTACATTATAACGGCACTTTCTCCTTTCGCTATTTGCAGTTATTGTCTGCACCATGTCGAATCATTGAATTGGCCACTTTTTACATTTCAGAATCAACCTGCAGCTAAAGTTAAATTCTTGCTTTTGTCGACGTTAAAACTGTATCTTACGCCGTTTATTCATAATTTGTCATTTTTGCCTTCAGAAATCTCAAATCTCGCTCTCTCATGGCATTTATTTTCTTGATTTTGGTTTTCTGATTTTGTTCTTGTCCTTTGAATTTTTTGCAGTCGATTTACTTCATTATTTAGCGACAGCACGGCCTAACATCCTTTTTTCTAACTTTCCACTAGATCAATTAGTAGTTTTTTCTGCGTTTCCTTCAGAGATTTAATCTTTCCGGTTGTTTGATGCTGGTTTTTTGTGCATTCTGTGGCCCTTTTTTTATCATTGGTCTTGTGTTCCAGTCTTGGTAAAATATCCTGATATTTGGCGGTAAGCACTGATGCGTCGAAACCAGCGGTCCCACCTCGAACGAATCGCAACCATTTTTCTGTGAAAGATACACGACTCAATTTTACCGTGATTTTCGGCGCACCCTGCATTCTTTCGAAAACGCCCTAGTCGTACTTCAAATCTTGGTGTTTTATGCGCTCTGACGCACACTCGACCAAAGCTTTGCGTTGGTGTCCATTTGCTTCACATTCCGACGGCATATTACCATCGTTTTGCTCTTGCTTATCGTCTTCCTTAATTGAACTCCCCCATTTGAAGTTTCACCACCTTCCTGAAGGTTGGCTTGATCTCTGACATCTAATAGCTTCATGCGCCAACAATTGAGCAAGCTAAATTTTTTCTTACAATAGATTTGATTATCTCCTCCCAACCTTTCATCAGTCGCACCTCTGACCTAATCCGACAATGGGAGGCGCTAAGCTTTGCCATGGACAAGACCGTGGCCTGTGCCTACTCTGGCAATGTGCTTACCTCCAGGATCGCTGCCGTCAATACACCCACACCATTAACGTCACCAGCGGAGCGGGAGGCAGGTCAAAGCATCCTCCTCGCTCACATCCGCTACTGCTTCGCTAACACTGTCGCCGACCTCCCCGCTGATCCCGGAATGAGGCAGTACTACCTCTCCGTCCTCCACACCCTCGTCATCAGTTGTACGGAGGGAAGCCCAGAGTTTGCTCTCCATCTACTAATGCAGGTGCGTTTTAAGGTACTATTTGATCGCGGAATCAAGGGCTCGCTTCATTAACAAGTATACCGTTTCACCATTTTACCATCCTTGCATCCTGTTTAAACTGACCAATAACAGATCTGTGGGTGGGAGACGATGAAAACGTAATGGATTTCTCCTTTCGCAACTTGCTGAATCAAAATTGAATGTTTTTAAACTTGTTTTGTACCTATGAGTGAAATTGATGGATGATGGTGGCCATGCTATTCGAGAAGACGTGGATTTCATTATTTCATGTTATGGGAGATTGTTATTTTAAGTGTTTCAGTGCCTTGTTTCCACCAGCCGGTTAGCGGTGTAGCTTAGGGGGTTGTGGGAGAGTGGGGAATGAGTAAATCGTAAAAGGTGGCTTTTGACCGGTAAATCAATGGTTTTTAGTAGACTTATGAATGAAGGTGTTATTTAGGGGAGGTTTGAACCCGAAGGTTCTACTGCAGCTATGGGTTTATTTCTTCAAGTTCGATGGATGCTTTTGCCCTTTTAATAACACAACGGCCCAATAATATTGACAGATAGCCAAGCCGCATTGAAATGCGTCTTCTACAGCTTGCTGAGTGAAAATTTGATGTTCATTTGCCACTGAATTGTGTGAGGGTTGTGGTTTGTAGTGACCGAGATACTTTATAAGACGCTACTTAGCTTGTAGGCCTGGGTGTAGCTCTGTAGTAAGACTACGGAAGGGCTGGGATACTGGGGACACAAATGGCATAAGCAGAACTCCATGTTAATGACGCGGAGACTGAATTGGGTTTGACTGAAACTATGTACATATCCGCCGTCTTCGCTACCGGCGCTTTCGGTTCAGCGTATTATTCGCCATGTTATTAGAACAGGTCTTCCATATCCTTGGTTTGTTTTCGAAATTCCGATAATTGTTTACCAAATTAGAATTTTCCAAGCCGTCTTGTGTTTAATTTAATGGGAAAAGGGAAGGGAAGGCGCATTTATTACCTACCCGTGACATTGGTCTTTTGCTGCTTTTCTTTGTAGGACTTTGCCACCCTGCGCTACAGCCCCTACGTGGTGAGCACCGGGCGGACCGCCGCCGTCGCTGCTCCAAAAATCCCCAAGTACCTCAATATTCGTTGCCAGAGTGTGCGTTATCTGCACATGTGCGTCGGAGTCAATGTCTTTCGTCTTGTCCGTGCCCAAACCTCCGCCATGCTGGTTCGTGTAACCCTCAAATTAAACAGTGATGGATATTCCCACTTATTCCCCAATTTCTATTCGTTTTAAAATTTCGACTTATCTTCTATGACCTGAGCAGCGGTATCTGTGTGACACTTGGCTCGTTTTTCTTCTGTTCGAAACCGATCTCCTTTTTTTCGCATACATGTCTAGGTGCCATAAGTTTTCAGTTCCATTTTTTGCAGCTAGCAATAAATCTTTTTGGTCAAAGGTGAACTTACCTCCTGTCTGATAGGTTGAACTTTTGTATAACACGCAATTCATTTTTATCCTCCTATACCATAACTGATAATATTCGTCCTGAAAGTGCTTTAAATGCCATTACTTTTTCCAATTGATCTTAATCCTAGCCTTTCTTAAAGTTCAAGGCCTCCGCAGCGAAAAAGTGTAAGAGGTTTGCGCTGTGTCACTTGACCTCATTTGGAGGGCATTTATGTGGCCTTCACAAGAACCCTCTTCCTTCCTTAGCTTCTTTTCTTCATATCGATATGGAGAAATCAAGCCTTCTTGTTTCCAGAATGCAATGTGAATGCAACGCCCCAGTCATATTTGAAGACATCAGGAGACGAACGGGGCTAAATGCATAACTTACTTAGCGTACAGAATGGATAGAAAATTGTTACCGTAGATGGTGTTAGTAGATCCCCACGCAACCAGTATGGAGGCTGAATGGTGCAACGCTCGTCTCATATGGCTACCAGTGCAACTAAGACGCCTGTCATTCTGCCTCAATATATTGCGTCTGATCGCCATTTAAAGGGGCATCATTACTAGACAAAGCAGGGTCTTGTCTGGCTGCAATGAAATCACACAATCGCAATCGCACTTAATGAATACCGTGGATTTTCAACTACATCTCCTGATTGAATTTTGTTCATCACAGGAAGGTTTGCCACTCAAGGGTAAGCTTTTTTCCTCCTTTAACACTTTCCTCAATCGGTTGCAGTTGACATCCATCTGCCCTGATCGCTTCACAAGGTTTTGCAAACATGATGATATTTCCAGTTGAAATCTGGATCAATTCTGGACTTTCGGATGCTTTAGCTAACTTCCCTAGTCATCGTGCTGAGAGATTTCCACCTTTTATCCAAGCTTAGCTGTGCAATTCGGTTCCTCCTTATGGGCTGATAAAAAGGGCTGGTGAAGTAGTGACAATTTTTCTTGGCCCCCCTTGTTTACTCCTTGTGACGGAAGTGCCCCTTCATCTTTCTAGTCTCGTTGCAAGTCTATTACAAATTTTGCACTAAATTTGTTTTAGTTACAAATCCTTGCAGGTAAAAGGCCAGGAATAGACTACTTCAAAACGCCTTTTTGCACAAGTTAAACATAAAGATTGAGCGCATTCCCCTTACTACGGAATTTAAGACTGTTTGTTTTCTCCATTCCTAGCCTTACTTCGACTCCTTCTGCTCCGAGCTCAACGATATTTGGACGAACGGGCATGGAGGGCTGGGAGAGCGGTGTCTTCTCTTGGAGGTTATCATATATCTAGCGTAAATCTGTCTATCTCCTACATGCTTCTTCCTTGTTATTAGGTTTGCCTTCTCATTTACCCTCCGCCTGCCATTTGCAGACTACGTCTTCCCTGCACCTTTGCGGAGCAACGAGAGAAGCTAGCCACTATACTTGCCGGCGTGCTTACGGAATGGAACAAGTCTGAGAGTCCCCTCGTGGTCTTTGGAGCTAAGAAGGCGGAGAGTCAGGAGGAGGAAGAGTCTAAGGGAGGGGTGGATAGGTTGCTGGAGTACTTTGGCCTCGCGATGGATGCTGACGAGATCTTAGGAAGTACGGACTTCCTCGCGGAGAGGGTTGCTACTCGTCTAAAGTTGCGATGGATCTCGTTAGCCACTGTTGCCATCATGCGTCAGTTGAATGGGGCTCTTTCTCCTGAGCAGGTAAGTTCAATGCAGAATAGTGTTTCTTACAATTCAATCATTCTGCTGATAAACTGTAAGTAGCAATCACGGACTTCGTTATGGACTTCGACCGGCTTCACGTTTTAATCAGCCATAGTTAGGATGGATATTGTCACGTGTTTGCTCTAGCTGTCTTCCTTGGTCTATCCGGAATGTTTGCATTCTATTCTGATCAGTCGACCTAGCTATCGCCCTCACAACCCTCCACTTTGCAGTGTGTACTGGTTGATCGTGGTTTGGACTGAGGCTCTTAAAAAACTCATGTGCTCTGCTTTCCCCCAAAGTTGTTTCTGTGCGGATCCATATTCTGGCCAAATCCTGTTGTTCGTGCATTAGGGTTTTAGTTCAAATAGTTCGATTACGGTTAGGCTAGGACAGAACCAGTTTGGATACCTAGTATTTCCATGCCTTCTGTTAACCTAGATGGAAAATGTGTCCGTTCCCCTGATCGAGACGTTGGTCATTCCTGCCTTCAATCTGCTTAGGTAAGTCCATTTATTTCCTTTCAATGAACTCTTAAAAACTCGATTCCCGATTCTTTCGTATTCACCACGACGCATGATGGGGAATCTTCCCGTCAATTATATGTTTGTGTACTGCTTGGTGTAATCGTAGCCCTCGAGTTATTCTAAAACGCGTATCTGTAAGACACAGGTTTTGTTGAGCAACCACGGATCTAACAGTACTGTCAATGACCTGTTAGTACGTCATCTCTATTGCTAGTTACTTCATTGCCTGAATTTCCAGGACCTTGAACATGCTTTGGCAGCCGAGGACCGCACAACACTGCCACCCCTCAATGCGATCGGTGCTGGAGGTGACGTATTTTGACATGGCTCTGCAAGCGAACATCAAGTTGAAGAACCCGGTCAAGAACTCCGATCCCGAGGTAGATGGTCTGTTAAATATTGATTCAATGGAAATGATTCTCTAATATTTAAGTCTTTCATGACGTCCTCTGGTCTAGTTGTGTTTCATAATGTGTTTCATCAGTAGTCCATTACTTTTCTTTGACTCTATTTGAAGTGTATTGGCGCGATGGGACGGTTGCACGCGTTTCGTTACCATCCGAGTGGTGCTCCCATCCTTGCCTAACAACTCAAGGAATCGGAGTATACAAATGCGATTAAGGAAATTTTCTAATAAGCTTCGGGTTCCAGGTGCTGTGTTCATGGGGCTGATTGTTGTGCTGGTGGGCTGGGCACTACTCCCATTGGGATTGTCGCTGACAGACTTGAGGCGATCTTTGATACTTTTATAATGTCCAAATGTCTTACTGCTGAGTGGCTGAACTTCCCATTACTGTGTTGTGTTTGAAGTCCTCTATGATTGTCAATACTCGCGGTTCGAGATTCTGCGGTTTTGTCCAGAGGGCACGTCATTTACCACCACGCACTAGTGCATATACACACACTACCGCTTTGCCTGGTATCTTTACTGTGTCTGAACTGGGGCGTTGGAGTATGCGCCGACTATTGGCAACGGTATAGACTTGTCACTTACTACTTCCTGCGTTACTCCCACAGTATTCCCTTGTTTTAATTGTAAAATAAGATATTTTGGTTTGACGTGGGCGCCCCCCTTGTGGTAGTCGTGAGTCAAAATACTAGTGGATTGTCTTCCACCTAGAGCCTTGTGACAGTCGTGTACCATGAGATATCGGAGGACTACATGTCCAAACTGCAGTCCTTTCTGGCGCAACTCTATGAAGCCACCATCCACATCTGCGACCTCGTGTTAGCGATCACATCGAGTCGTTTCTACGCTCTACCTACGGATCAGCTAAACCAGCTGCTCTACAACTATGTTTGCCCCAGCATCGACTCCATGCCTGATTTTCGACTGCTCCAGCTACTGCGTGAGTCTTTCCCTTCCTTTATTCTGTTGCTGCTTACGAGTCTTGAGTGCTAGTTCCCAATCATTTAAGAGTGACAAGGCTTAGTTTTTCTGCACGATAGATCGTTGTCCTCATAGAACTATTTTTTGCAAAGTTGCATGTTTCGCGATCAAATTGTAGGGCTTTAATTCATCAGTGAACGAAGTGCTTTGTTGGAGATGGAACCGAAATTGATTTCACCATCAAACTTCACGGGATTTCTTACGCCTGGAATACGAGGTACGCAAGTCTGGTGGTAGCTTCTTTGATGGCACATGGAGGTGCTCCATGCCATCGTATTTAAGGCCAAATTTTGGGGCTTATGTGTAAAGTAATGGAATCTGAACGTCATTAGCAGGGCTCAGTTATCGACTGTGATCGAGAATGTGGTACATCTGTCTTTGAGTGATTCATCATCGGGGTAAGGTTTCTAAGCTATTTCGGAGCGGTGGGTTCTACTGCCACACCTTCCCTAGACGTCATACAAATTTTACTAGAAGAGTTTGCGTTTTACGAATCCTCACAAATTACAGCAAGTCATTACAGCGAACCACGCTGGAAATTGTACGGATTTCTTTAATTACCCGAAGTCTAACCACGCCTCACTCAGCATGAATGTAATTGGATCTGAGAACTGTACGAGATCCATCATAATCTTCCAGATATACGAGTACTTCTTGAAAAAGCTGCCCTTTGGATAAAATAATGATTGCCCCCAAAATCATCTCTGCATCCAGTGGACATGATTTTTCATTTATGAAAGGCAAAAGCGTAGCGCCTCTCCATATTCCAACGAGTCGACAACGAGATTACATCGAAGTAGAATCTTCTTAGCTAATGTTCCAAGGAGAAGTGAGAGGCATAACAAGCGCACTCGTTGTGGAACATTGCCCAACTCTAAGCATTGAAGTTCCCAACGCCAATAGGGGATACGTTGAATGTCCCCCTCCGAAAGCTCCGAGATGCACCAATGTCAGTAATTATCTTGGGATCGTCTTCTCTGTTTTACACTTAAATGCGGTTTACTAATAGCAATAATTGGTAGCGCAGACGTTGCTTAGAAAGGAGAAAAAGGTGATTAAAAGTCTGCGGTTTTCAGCATGGCTCGCTGCTGCAACTTTCATTTTGTATGAATTATTAAAATTAATGGGAATATATATTTTTAAGTACAGATAGATATGTTCCAGTCTGTCGGTATGATAATCCTCATTGTTTTTTGCTATTTTCCTCCTATTTTGAACCCTCATGCCCCAACTATAAACCTAGCTTAACTGAACTTTTGAGCTTCTCATGGGAATTACCCATATAGTATTTAGAAGAGTGTGGCATGCGGTAGCAGAAGTATGCCCCAGAAATGCTTCAAACAACTTCATTTTGGTGATGAATCACTCAAAGATAGATGCGTATTTTAAGGAGTTTTCTGCAAATACTTAATTTTATTACAATTTTACACCAGCTTCTTTTGTTACTACATAAAATTAAAGCAAATACCGTTTCACTGCTCTGCTCCCTTCTTACTTTGAGCGTTGCTTATGGTGCTCCCCATTGTCATCCTTCCTCTTCTTCTTCGGCCAAAACGAGTCTTCCCATTCCTTGGAGCTATCAATAATCTCATCCTCTGTCTTACTGTTTCAGGCCACTTGATAATTCCCTATGTGCGCTTTTGTCCCGCCGAACATATCGGCACTGCCATTGTTCCCCTCATGCCTTACATTCTCGACGCGCTTTTCCAGGTAAAACTTCTCAAATTCTGCTTGTTTTTTCTTCAAATAATTCAATCAGGCGATTTGTGTTTTAGAAAGTAAACAAGAGCTGGGCCGTTATCAAGCTTGTCAAGTACGTTTTTCCGAAGGGGGATGAGTAATATTCTCTTTTGCTTTCTTCTGTCACCATCATGTTTTTTTTGCAGCAAAGACGAGGCTGATGAGCAGGAGGCAGTCAAAGAGATCTTCATTGAAGAGACTGTTCGCTCACTCTCGACAAGCCTGATCGAAATCACTCGTAAGTTACTTGAAGAGTTAATTAATATCTTCTTTTTGCGTTGTATTTTTTACCAATCGTTCCTACCACTTTTCTAGCTTGAAAGCTTGTACGCTCCTTTATCAATTGCTTGGGCAGCATTCCTGCAACTTCAGCAGCTATTCACTCTCGAGGTTCCTTCTGCACATGTAGTGGTCGTGCCTGTAGCCATCCGGCTGTTCAGGGTGTTGTCCATTCGTCACGCTGATAATACCACTTTTGGGCCTTTTAATTCACTCCAAGGAGACACTACAAGAGAGAACCTTGTATCCCTTACTACGGACACGTGGTAAAAAGGTTGAATTTGTGCTCGCGGCACACATTCACCCAGTCTAACGTAAAGTATATGACAGCTTAAAGTGCTGAGTACTACCGTACATGCGAGGAGACAGCCATGAGGAAATTTTTTACATTCAACGTCTTGAATGGGGACGTCGCTTTCGAAAACAGTTACTCTCATTGGTTTGTTACTTCAAATGGTGGGAAAAGGGAAGAGAAGCCTTTTGTAAGGATATGAATGCGAATCAACTAAAGTACCGCCAGTTTAGTTGAAAAGTGTTATGGCATTCACTTGTTGACCTAGTCATCAGTTGACACTCATTGGTTGTGCGGTCGAAATCATATGGAAGGCAGGACAAGAATTCTTTTAAAAAACAAGGGCCCTTTGAGAAGACTCTTTGTTATTCAGATTGTGTAGTAACCACCTCTGTGGTCTCAGTAGTGTGTTGTCATTGCTGTTTTCTTACTGTTTTTTCTTTGTTATCGGTTTAAAACCTTTAACCCGCCTGTGGGGTATTCGGGACAGTACGTATTACCGACTTTGATGCATTTGTAACATGGGGATTTTGCAACCACTCTTACTCCGGAGCAATGCTTTTTAAACGTGGTCGCAAATACAATCGTTTTGCTAGAGGAAATCGCTCATATGTCATACCCCTTTCACATTTATCGTTCCAAATAGAATTTCCAATGCGCTGAAAATGTTCGGCTGTCACTCATGTCTTCTGAATGTCTCAACATTATGTGCCCCTTCTTGAACTTCATTAGGCACAATCATCGTCACCATCGCCAGAGTAGAAAATTTTGTATTCAACTGAGGTCGAAAACTGCGACTTGGGTCGAGTCTGAGCGAGATTAGAACCACGGTTCCTTAAATTAGCGTCGCTGCCACTACCACCATATTCCTATTGTTGTTGGAGTCGAACAAAGTAAAAACCACGTAAACACCAGCTACTGATTAACCATGGACAACGTTTCATGCCACCTTTGCAGTTCAAACTGGGTGCTCTTGTGAACTGACCACTGTTTCTGCTACTTTAAATTCATCAATTTGTGGTTATCGCTGGGAATTGGGTAAGGAAGCGGATTATACACAAGTGCCAGAGGTTTCATTTGGTTTAAAAATAAGTATGGGTGAGAACTTCGAGCTGAGGTGTTTCAGGCAATTCTGACCTGGTCAACACGTGCTATTTCTATCATCATTTTTTCCTCTATTCCTACTCATGCGCTATTACTATAGAGAGGCTGTTTAGCTTTGCATTCCTCAAAGTGAGTCGCTATCTTGAGGTTTATGCATGGGTGGTACTGGGAGGAAGGTGAGGGAAAAGGTTTGTAAAAACACATCACTTTCCGTTATTTGTTTCGAAAAAAAAATCCTTGAGTGAAGCAGTTTAGAAATTCGGCACTTCGAAATCACCCACGAAGGAACTTCATTGGTGTTTCTTCCTGATTGGTATATCGGTGCAGGAAGAAAACTCGGTAAAAGTGTTGGCGGTTTTGCCAAGTGAAAGACCGGTGAAGGCAAACTGGAACACCAGTTTGAGTTGATTCAGATAACGCAGACTTCCTCGTGATTTGCAGTTACTGCTATCGCTAATATTCTTTTGTTTGTACACAGGGCGAATTAAATGAAATCGTCAACACTATTATTCATGAGTTCTTATTATTACTGTCGGAAATTTTTGAAAGGAGTCGCAAACTTCTCTTCTCTGGTGCGAATTGATACTTGCCCATGGGACGATGTTTAGCTTTACCCTCCTCAAACCTGATTTGCTTTTCATTCATGATTGTTGGTGCCGATTACCGAGTACCACCAAGAAAGAGGTTTCCAAATGAAATGATCGCCAATTTCGCTTTTTGTATGGGGCAAAGTTTTCCGGAATGTCATTTCGTTGACTGACCGATTTCCATGGTATGTCAGACTTAATCAGGAATATCATTTTTTCCCCAGGCACTCTGCTGGCATTCACAGGGGCACGTGCGCGACGATCGGAAGACGCGGATACGGAGGGGGCGGAGGTAGTGGAAGGTGAAACTGAGCAGGAGGGAGAGATGGGGGTGGCGGCAGCGGCGTCAGAACCTATTGAGTTCGGTCCGGTGGCAAGGGCCTTTCTCATTGACTGGGGTGCTAGTGGCAGTGGTGGCCGTGGAGAGATGTTTGTTCGCATTGCCTCGTGGCTGACGGCGGCGGTCACTTGGCCTGACAGTAAAGTGTGCACCAAGGCTGCCACTCTTCTGGTCAAGGTCATAGACTATGTGAGTTGACATTTATTCAGTTGTCCACTCATGCGTATAACCTTTACTAGTGCTCTAAATTATTACTCACTTATTCCCCCTATCGTTCGTCTTCTAGTTGCCTGAATGGGCTGAATACGGAAAAAGTCATATGGATTATATACACTGACTTGAAATCGAATCTTGTTGTGTAATAGCTGGTCCATCATCCACGTGCTAGAAAGTAAATATTTAATACCAATTCAAGAAATGGTGAGTTTTTTTTTTCTGTCGCTTCAGACGCTACATAGGGACGGCCCAAGCACCCACCCCACATTGCCAGCCGAGCTCGCCTCCCAATTGTTGATTGGTGGGTTACGAGCCCTCCAAACTAATGGCCAGTTCCTGTCAGAGGTTGGGCCCCCCCTCTTCAATCTGGTCGGTCGCGCCGTCGCACTGATTGATGGGGGTCCTGAGGGAGTCACTGTCCACCTGGAACCCATTCTACTCTCCGCTCTGCGTAACTGTCAGGACACTACACCAGCCAGTCAGCATTCTGTGGAAATTAGGGTATGGTTTGTAGCTTAACACGATCTAAAGCATGGTTTATATATTAGGAAAACTTTGTCCTGATGTTTTTTTAGAAATACACAGAGTTGGTGTTTAATCGAACTAAAACGCCGTCAGAAAAGGTGCTTCGAGAGCGTTTGAAAACTTTGCTGAAGCCTATAATCGGGGTGAGCAATCATTTCCTTTCTCTGCTGCGCTCTTTATGATCTTCATCGGAAATTGGGGTCTTATCGACTATAATGCTTTCCAGATCTGTCTGAGCATTTGATTTAGCTGTGGGACCGAGTTCCCCCTAAAGACGCCATAAGACATACAAGTTAGGGAGTGATTTTAGTGCGAATGGACAAAAGGTTCGGCGATTGGAGGCATATATTTGCATGAACACAGGTCCATAGCACTAGTATTGGAACCGAGTTATGGAGGACCGCGAGGGCCCATGTGGAAGTGTGTACAGTTACAGCTTAAAGACATTGTGGACAGTTCCTCTATGGTAATCAGTTCTCAAGAAGTCAACTGCGCGACTTTTATAGCTTTTCTGTTCCGGTAATCAAAAAATTCAGCTATTCATAGCATCCATCCTCCGTCTGTGACCTGATGTACCATTTGAATAGCAGAGGATCGAGTTGTCCTTCAATAAGACGGGTTCTCAACCACTTCAACCAACGTGAGATTTGTATTATCCCTGAGGATGCCATAAAGTATATTATTTAATAAGTAACTTCACCACTAACACTTGAAAAGGCTGGAAGGTTATTAGCAGGTACGGCCACAGTAAGTCCTTATATTATCAGCACTGACTTTGATTCTGAAGTAACCTAAGGTACTCACATAGTCCCATTTTTGTGTCAGATTCCCTTGGCGGAGCAGCACAATCAAACTCTTTCGATCAGTGCGCTAGAACCACTAAGAAGGCCCAGTTTGCGTTCAAGGCGACGTCAACGACAGCGGCAGGAGGCGAGCGTGGGGACTCGCATTGAGCTGGCTGTCCAAGCGTTGGCTAGTCTCTTTGAAGTGGACTGAGGTTTGAGCATTTCCATCCCTGTCCTCCCAGGTCCTTGTGAGCTTGGGTGTTCAACTGCTTGAGACAAACTTTCTTGCGTCTGTTGCGTGGTTGTATTATAAGGAGTAAATTGTATGATGAACGTGGGCATGCATTTTCCGGTGGGTGGGCAGACTGAGTTGCGTGTCGGTGCCGTCTGCATGGCAGTGGGAGGGCGTGTGAAGGTGGTGCAGGGTGTCGACAGCTTTCATTCATATTCCCCCGATGGAGGGGGGGGATTGCATGGTGTCGAAATGTGCGGTGCTTTTTGTCAAAATCCCTAATTTCATTGTTCTGAACAGGCCTAGATTCCTTAAAGAACTATACTTACTGTAAACCAACTAATTCTAGCTCCCTAAAAAGTTAATATAAAAATACCAAAATGGGAATGCGAATGATATGTCAACCTTATGGTGATTTTGTTTTATCAACCCATTGAAAATGTAGGTCAACTCAAAAGAGTCAGCGCCTAAACAAAACCTTCGAGAGATGGGCGAATTAGGCCGTGAAGACATAACTGAATACAAGGAAAAACTCAAGACAATTTGTGGACCTTCGGGGCTTAGTCTGTAATTGCCATTCATGTAATAAAGACTTCCAGATACGATGCGCTAAAGAAATGCTTACGCAAATTCATCGCCGGAGAGTGCAAAGATATACAAGACACAGCAGACTTCATCGAGGATTTCCTGAACAATGAACCAAAATTTATAAGCACTATTGAGAGGCAGTTAGACGATATTGATCTAGGGTATTTGAGGGAGGAAAAGGCTGTTTTGGATGTAATTTTCCCATCAAGTCCACTACTTTTAGCAATTTACCAAAGACTCTGAGCCAGAAGATGAAGATATAATTGTTCAAGACATTCGTGATATCTCAAACATGCTTAAATGTACAGGCGAAGGTCTAGATCCGAGTGAACATTTCAAATTAAAACTTGCATTCAAAAAGATAATTGCAGATAACCCCATTGAGAGTATTAGATTTTGGGGAAAGATTTTTGGAACCCATAATGACTATTATATTATTGAGTGTCATCTTAGTAACTTTGATATTTCTGAGGACAATGTGAAGAAGGAGATTGTATCTGAAGATACTGAAAGTAATGGAAGGGGGTTGGATGAAGGTATTTCTAAATTTATCGTACTATAGTCATTAAAGTGATGCAGTTGTTCTTGGAGAATTAGCTAGCCTTAATATAATCTTTGGAAAGAATAGTCTAACAAACGATAATGAATAAAAATATTAAAGGACTGAGAAGAAGAATAGTGGAATGTTAGGCCCCAATAATTTTGAGAAATTTACAAGGCACTGTCAATTTTAGATGAGAAATTGTCCTTACACAATATTGCAGAAATGACCCATTTTGAAAGGGCATTTTACCCGTCATAACCTCCTTATTGTTTGCTATAATCCATCAAAAAACTTTGCAGATCCACCTCTTCCTAAATCGATTTGGAAGCCCCCGCCAGAAACACCATCGGAGGAGGTTGGCGAGGGAGTAAATTCGCGTGTTTACTTCGTGAGTAATCACCCCTGTGGGCCTTACTCGCGTCTCCCACATGCTGAACCGAAACACATCGTTGCCTCGAGGCTGGTGAGACTTCTCCCCTTCTTTTTCTCATTCTGGGTATAAGATGGTAGACCGCGTTTGAGGTACAAAATTTTAACATAAAGATTATTCCCAACAAATATTCAGGCATATTTATCAAAGAAGCTCATAAAGGAAGTGAATACGGGCAAATTTCATGTCCATAACATAGCCCAGTTTGAAAGCAACTAATTGTCCTTTACTTCTCAGTAGACTGCCTTGAGGGACATACAAATAAACATGTGCATAGAAGAGTGAGGTCTTGCTATACCTTAAACTGATATGTTCTAAGTGATGCTGACTTCCATATATAAAAGGATCATAAACGTTGCTCAAAAAACTTCATTTTCTGACATAAAGTGCGACTGCGACGGGAACGTGTGCTAGCAGTTTTGGAGATGATCATCAGAACAACCGAAAAGTGACAAAGAATAGTAAAAATGGGGCAATTTTTAGGATACCAATTCTCATTGTCAATACTTATGGAAGTTAGGCATCTCGCATTTAGTGATCAAATAGTTGTATTTGATGGCAATAACTTCATCTGCATTTCCCTTTCGAACAAATTAAAAGCTCCTGTCATATTTGTCCTGGCAGATTTTCAGCCACTTCACCGGTGACCTCACTGTTAGTGTGGCTAGTTTCCCGCCCTTTCCGGGTACTGAGGCGCATTACCTACGTGCACAGATCGCACGAATCAGCGCGGCCACGCATTTAGCCCCTCGAGACTTCTATCGCCTTCGCCTAGACAACCATGGCGGCGATGAAGGCGAGGAAAGTGAAGAGATGGTGGAGGTGGAGTGTGAGGAGAACGAGGAGTATATAGCACAACCGGTGGATGAGATGGAGCTGGAGCAGTGGGTTCACTGTAGACCCTACATTTTGCCGCAAGGTCGGGTTACTTGGTAGGTTGGAGGCTCTCAGTCAGTCATCCCATTTAATTCTTCAATTCTTGTAACATCTATCCATGATCCACCCACTCAGCTCATTTTCATAAATTTGTTGTAAATTTCTTCAACCTCTTCGGTTCCATTCATGGGTTTCAGATTCAGCCAATTATTCCCAGTCCATCTAAATACTCATTAGCATTCTATTCCGCCCAAATCTGCAAACGTCTACTAATTTTATTCCAAATTAACTCCTTTTACACCCATCTATCCATCCTAAATTTAGCCTCTGTTCATCCTCAGTGAGACTCTCCACTCCTTTCAGATTTCTCTGCCCATCTATCCGTTGCTAATTAATCTACTCACCTTTATTTCTTTAAATCGAAGTCCAGCAGTTAACATTTACTCGTTCCACTCAATGTTGAGCCCAAAATTCAGCATAACCAAAACGCTTTCACTATTATCTCGAACCTTTTAGGTGGAATCCCCTTGATGCAGAGAGCGAAACCGAGTCCAACGGCGACAGTGGCGATGACACAGTGCCGCCTCCGCGGGGGCTTAATGTGGAGTCGCAGCCCGAGCTAGGTCCACCGATCCTCACTCCAATCACCGAAGATATCGAGGTGCAAGGACAGGTTCCCTGGACAATGCGACGCTATCTAGGAGGCCTCTATCTCCGCGTCTCGTCGCTCCTCTGGCCCGGCGCACACACGATTGCTCGAGAGGGGTAGGTGCTCCATCATTCACGTGGATTGTCAATGGGTGTCATGCACTCCATTCGATAAGTGCAATCTCCTTGATTTGGAAAGACAAAAAAGCAACATTTTTAGCGCATGAAGAAGGGAACATCTCTCCCTGGAAGTTCCATGGCAAAGTCTTGTCACGAAATTTAGGTATGGGAAACCGAGAGACCTCAAACCGCAACCACCAGCACCGAAGTTAGCGGAATGCATTTAAATTAGAGCGCTCGATTTATTACACAGTCACTGATTTTGGGTGAACACAGTTGAAGAATAAAACCCCAGATCTTATAGTTGAATTTGTTACTTGCGAGATTGCAAGTGGGTTGACCTGTGAGTTTTTATTGTAACGGCTGTTTTTACCCCTCGAAAGGAGGCGGTAAGATAAATTGGAACATTGCTTGTAACATCGAAACTGTGAAATCCTCAGAATTCTTAAAGAATGCCCAGACAGGGCTGCTCCACAAAGATGAATAACTAATCCAAGAAACAGGAGAGACACTAGTCCCCTCTATCCCAGAACAAAAGCCTTGCCTAGGAGATCGGCTGCAACTAGACGTTCACTGATGCGGATTTTAAGAAATGAAATGACAGCACAGTTTAAGACTTGTTAAAAGTATAAGTCCTGCTTTGATGAGGGAACACCCTACTTTGGTACATTTATTTGCCTCAAACACCTTAAATTTTATCAATAAAAGTATACAACTGATTTGGGAAGAAAAATAAGGGCGCCTTTACATAATTTTGCTTTTTACGAGAACCATTATGAGACAAAAGACAGTTTAGTTTTCATGGTCTAAAAAGGAACTTTACAACTAGTGAGAGTGCGCACTGATTTCAAAAGAGGACTACGTTTGACCGCAGTAAAGCATGACTCGAATAAACGCAGCTATTTATAATTTTTTGAAAGAAACTGGGTCTTGGTCATTTAGAAATTATTGTCACTACAGCTACTTTAGAAAATTGCAAAAAAGTGTATCCGTTTCCCACATTTTTAATTAATTCAATACAAGCTAATAAATTGCTCTAAATATGGTCCATGAAACTGGAGCAATGGTAAGCAAAAAGGCTGGTCCACAAAGGTCAAAGTGATCAAGATAGTACCGTTCCCTGCTTTTGTTTATTTATGCAACGGTATCGACGAAACGATTAGTTGATAAATTGCTAAGTTAATGGATATGCGGAGGGTCAATCGTTCCTTTCATACTCCCTGGCCCTCAAACCCTTGGAACGAATAGAGAGACTACGTAAAGGCACTTTTATTGGTAATATTTAGAGCGGGAAACGGAGGTCGGGGACATGTGGGTTGGTAACACTCTTTCACCTCGGGAAACTCTGACGAACTCTCCCCCAAGAGTTGCCATCAAGAGCTACCCGGCAAGATTTTGGTTAGTATTAATCGAATACTAAACGTGTGTGTTCATTTATGTAGGGCGTTTGAAAACATCTACGTTGGATGGGGCTTAAAAGCAACGGGTCCCGCTGGATTCCAGACATCTCTGCCTGCAGTTCAGTGCGAGACACTTGAGGAGCCAGTAGAGCAGACGGACCCTACGCCAGAGGAGGAGGCGGCAAAGGAAGAGGAAGGGGGGAGGGATGATGAAGAGGACAGCATCGACAACAGTGACGAAGATGATGATGACAAGGAGGAAGAGGAGGATTGATTGAAATGCGAACAGTTGAATCGCAGGTTCCGTAGGGCAATTTAAGAAAGAGACGTGGAACTTGCTACGCACATTGAGACTGCAATAGATATCACGAGCATATTAATGTAGACATTAGTCCATTGACTCACGACTCGCTTTCAATATGGGGAGTTAATACGTTGTCACGGGGTGGACAGGTATTATTCGGCATAGCTGGATTTGGAAACGGTTGTTAGTCACAATGCCTTTTGAGACATAATGCTTTTCTTTAATAATGTTCAGCCTTTTTAAGTAGAGCGGTAATAGTGGAGAAGATGGTTCCACCGTGAATTTACCTCAAACACCACGTCCGACACCACCAGTTATCAAAAAGCTCGACTTGACTGGATTCGCTTCCTTGTGGGCAGTTCGAAAGAATTTGAATCAGCATGCCTAGAGTAGAAAGAGTGACCCCTGTGTGCGATCCAATGAAAAATTGAAGTAACGTGGGACGTAGGAATTGATTGTTTTAGCATCAAGATTGTTTGCAGCATAACGAGCAAACTGCGGAGGGTTTTTAATCCTGTGGCTGGAAATGTGATAAACTGTCGGTGCTGTTGTGCTGAAAGAGTCGTAGGCTAGGACGGAGGCTCTACACTTCTGGGTGGTAGAGGTGAATTCCCGAAGTTATAGCTGAGGTAAAACTACTTGTAGTAGTTTTGCACCACATAGTACCATCTGAGGCAATACTTCCGAGTATGGACGCCCGAATGTGAACCTATTCGTTAAATTGATCCCCTAAATGTCCACCAAATCGTTCAAAGCTTTTGGTATGTGAAGGGAATGGCAAAACAGTCGTTGGGTTGGAGATATCAATGGCAGTGTGTTGAAGACCGACAAGATCTACAACGTAAGATTTCGATAATACAGGCAGGATTGTTTGGTGGTTATTACAATTCTGATAAGCTAAGGGCGGAGCAATTAAATCAAATAATTTGAAAGAATTCACTGAAGACATGATCATACCATCATGAAAGCTAGAGGCATACTCTATAGGCAATGCTAGTTATAGAATAGCCCTGTGGAGATCAACAGCTGGATGACGTCGGTTAGGTCTAGCGAACCACCTATAGATGGAATTTCAAAGGTTTTGAAATTGAACTCAGAGGGCTTCTGTTTGCAAGGTATAATAACCTTTTATAATAACCTTTGAGCTTTATACCTTGGAAATGCATTCGGAGGAGGGAGCGCATACTCTCCTACATATTCGGGCTGCTAGGTGGACCAGAGCATCGAAAATGCCTAATCAAGGCCTTTGTTATTTGCTTGATGATGACATCTGTCAGATCCTCGAAGTATGAGGGTTGTTGGTTTAGAGAAACAAAGAACAAGAATCCAGCCATCTTTTATTTATATGTAATGGGCGAATGACAGAAGAAAGTAAGCCCGAAATAAGCAGGAAAAGTTTCATGTGTAGCCTGACGAGTAAGGTAAACGACTGATGCTATCCACTTGCCATGAACGACAAAAAACTTACCTTTCTCCTACTGAAAGACGATAAAACAAGAAACATGCCATAAATAAACTGGAAAAGTTATACCAAGAAAAAAACGGACGTTTGCCTCCAATTCCAGCCTCGAAACAATATCGCTGATCTTCAAAAAACTTCAGGTTCGGGTAGAAGACGGAGCCCATTTAGTAAAACAATTTGGAAATTTTAATTTTTGGGTTAACTTATGAGTAAATCAACGGATCGGAGAATAGTAGAAAAGGAAAAAAAAGGACTTGTGAAGACACGGAATAGTGACAGGGGAATCACCCCCGTGCGAATATTAATTAAATCCAGGGTTGAAGTCGTTTTTTATATCGCTCTCGAGGCACCGAGGAGGTACACGACTGGAAGCACAAGATAACAACGTAAACTAGTGTGGTTTTTTATGCTATAAGCTGAATAACTGGGGTGAAGCTTCCCTTTTCAACGAAACAGGGAACTTGTTGGGTTTCACGTTTGCAGAAGGTTTTGGTCACGGAGACAAACAGCCATACCCTAGCCATCTCTTTCTACTTCAGTGTTAACTCTCAAACGTCAATTTCGCATTCCAGTTGCTCATAACCAAGAAAGGGTGATAATCACTTGGAGGACAATCATCAGGTGGGTACGGAGGACACGAGAACGCCGATATCTGCAATCCTCCTTTCACAGGTCAGCTTTCTGGCGGTATATCTTCGCTCGTTTTATTAGAATGGTACTTTAGCCCAATCGATTTGCAAGTCTTGACTGCCTCCAAAGGAGAATCTCTTGCGCACTGAGTTGTGTCGTATTGAATGGACAGATGTCAGCCATAATTGTCGTTTGACCTTCAAAAAGTGAACAGGTTTCTGCAGTACGTCGCGTTTCAGACACGAAGCGCGGCCCTACGTTGATGAGGGTCTTAAGAGTGTAGGGCGGAGAGCGGGGCGATTAGGACAATCAGCGATGCGCTTATCCGCTAAACGAACACTAAAACACAAAATTGTGGGAACCATTTATCGTAGCGAGTTAATTGGTGGCCAACAATTTAATGGAGTTAAATGAGGGAAAACCCACTTATCACCGACTGTTGATACGCGCGATTGGGACCCAGTCGCTTTGCTTCCGCGACTTTTCTGTTAGGTGCAGAAATACAGAACGTGAGCTTAACACAACACCACAACACAACAACACACCGAAGGGTCAGGCAACCTGATAAGCAGGCCAGAGGGCATCCAACTAGTTAGCGAAAAACAATACCTACTACTTGAGAGAAACTTCAATCCTACCAATGTTTTGGAGGATAAAAAAACATTGCCTACAATATTGAAGGTACAAAATACGCCGAGGCAAGGACCCTGAAACTAATTAGTAAATATGTCAATGGGGGGCAAAACGAAAACTATGCCAAAAGGTGGCTGCCTTTTGAGAACCTCATACTGCCTATGGAACCATTAATCAATGCAAACGTAACATGAGAGCAATGAATGCCCAAACTAGCCAACGATGATTTCACGCTCGAATGAAAAAAGAACCCACGCAAAAGGAAATTAGGTAGATAACACTTTTTAAGAAGTTCTCACAACAATTGATTATGTTAAACAAGCAAATCCTTCTTCAGGAAAAGCGCGTCAAGATGCCACAAAACTGTCAAGTAGTCCATAGAGGTCAGTCCGGAGGGCGGGGGAGGAGGAAGTGTTGCTTACACAACCTCCATTGCAGCACCCCCGCCACCGTCAGCATCTCCGCGTGGACGGCCATTACGACCCGTAATGAGGGGCACAGAAGCGTCGAGGCCGCAGAGACGCAGGAAATGCAATCGCTCGTAGCGGTCGATGTGGTTGCGCAGGCTTTTCACACCTCGCCATGCCGCAAACGCAATACGGCAGTGGGGACGCGGCCGGCTGCTCTCTTCCATCTTCGACTCAGGCGTCACCTGTCAAAGCACCAACAAAGGCATATGTAAAAAGGGGCTAAATTCGGGGAATCTGTGATTGCTCCAACCCGGCTGATAAGGCACAAGTGGAAATCAATTGATACTAACCCGTGATAGGGTAAAATTCGCTGTAAGGACCCTTTTGGCCTTGTGTTAGTCTCTCAGCACCCTCTTTACGTTCACGACAAGGTAACCTTCCGCCTTAGTTGTATTTTAACGTCTTCCCAACTAAATCCCCCAGTACAGGTGACTCTAATTGAAAACTGGAAAATCGTTACCGATACGCTCGAAAGTCTCCATCAATACGGAAAAATTATCACTGGGAGCGTTGAAGACTTTTCTCGAAACAAGACGCAGGTCACGCAGAGAAGTGAATTCAAGATTACAAGGACCTTCCAAACCCCTATGTTTCCACTGCTACGGCGTCGGGGCGTGCTTTGTTCGTTTTACTTAAGCAAAGCAAACAACATTAGTCCTCATTCAAGCTCGAGCAGCCATTTCGCCAATATTTACAGCAGATCCAAAAGAGAACAAAGGCGGAGAATAAGACACCCACACGAGAGGGATCGGAGGGGGCCGCAGGATCGTAGTCGACGAGAACGGGTCCTGTGCTGAGCTGCTCCCACTGGTCTCGCGTAGCCTTGGTAAAGCGTTCAGCCAGTGGCATCTCCTCAAGTAGCAGAAGGACCAAGTCATCGCGCTCACTCGCTGAGAGGCTTATGCGACGATGGCAAAGCTAAAATAACGAGGTGTGTGTTGTCTCTGCCATTCATTTATCCGATCTGCCAAGTCGCGACCTTCATAATTTTGACTGGTAAACAGTGAACACTTACAAAATTAAGTGACGATTTTTATTTTTGTAAACAAGGTGAAAACGCAGAGAGAGGAAGCAAAAACGGCCAGCCACCTACCTGAGGGGGATATCGCCTAAGCTCCTTAGGTACTTGGGGCAGGAAGGCACAGGCTAGATGAATTCCATCGTGGAGAAAACGGTAGCCGACAAACTGTTTTTCATCACAGACGGCAAAAAGTTTTACGCCTCCACTGACGATAGGAACCGCTAGACAGGTAACGTGGAATGAATAATATAAGTTATGCTGAGGCAGGCCATTTTCAAACAGAGCCCCTTTGCGGTTGGTCAGTTAACTTCCCATGAAGAAAATATGTTATTTTATTATAAAATATCATGAACCTTGTTTTGACGACCACAATTAGTCACCCTGGACTAAAGTAAGTCATGGTTACCCAACTCGGTCAGTCAAGAGAACAGCACCATTGCAACAACGAATGAACAGATTCGGACTCAGCCATTACCATTATCCGATTAAATATTACAATTTTCTGCGGAAACTGCGCACTTGAATCTTTCCTCTTTCCAATAAGAGGTCGTGTATTTTGACACAGCCAACTTAGCCCTAAACAGGTTCATCCAACACAGCGGCGGAAAAATGAGTACCATCTACGCGCGTGTCCTGGGTGGCTTTCGCATCCCACTCCCATACTTGCAATGGGCGAAAGGAAACGGGGTACATTTGACGAAGACGACAACCATTGCCTTAAATAAATAAAGTGACACTTCTACTTTACCATATTGCATGGATCTACCAATGTATTCCATGATTCTAGCTCCCCAGACCTCCAGGACTTTCATGAAGACGTTGAGAATAAATACGACGCTTCAAGGTTGATTCTTTTCGATTGCTCCAAAAAGACATTTTTTTACAATCCCACTTTTTAAATCGTTAATGTGACAGAAGACATTTGATTAAACCATGGACTGATTCCACGATGATGACCTTAAGGCACTAAAATAGCCTCAAAGTTTTTAATAGAAGGGCTACGGAGACGTTGAAGGCATCAAAAGCCGTTTTTGAGTGCTTCAAAGGATTGAACATTGAGCTAATCGGCCGCGTTCACGGTCTATTCACAAGTTGGCACCCGGTAATGAAGATGACTGTAAAAGTCGGAGGCAGATCACAGTAGAGGAAGGAGCAACATTAGCTCATTGTAGGCGAGAGTGGTGGAAATACAAATTTACCAGCATTGATATGCGTGGCGACAGTCTCCCATGAGTGGGTCGAAGTATTCCAAAATGAGGGATGTACAGCGATAGAGCTTTCTAATTCACGAAAATGGAAGCGAAGTAAACCGTGCCAAATGGATGCCGAAGTAACTGGCGGAGAAATAAGTGAGATTTCTAATTTGCTAATTTATTACCTGCGGTTCTTTACAAGACAGCAACTCGGAGGCATCACAAGGCAACCTTCTTCAATGACTGATTTTCATGTACCACGACGATTCAGAAAAAAGTAACTAATCCCCAGGACGGAGTGGACAATCCTTCGATTTATGAACCACTACAGACACAAGTGATACTGGCATAAACGACGCTTCACGCGGAAGTCAACTCAGCAGAACCTTATGCATCATGAAAATCTTGAGCAACTATGATGCTGCAGACTAAGAAATGATGATTTCGATAGACCCGTGAACTCACCGCCATTGTTATTGGCTTGGATGACCCCTTTTACGAGGGGATTGGTGTAGTAGAGATAGCGCCGTCTCACAGGATCTCCGGCAGTGCCTGCTCGGTAGAAAATCTGCGCAGGGTTGAGGTTAAAGAGGCAACTCTCCCTCTCTCCAAGCCCGTAGAAGTCGCGAATGCTAGGCCAATCCTTATCTGTGGCTGGGTCTATGAACACGAATGACGCTTCCTTCCGTCCCTGCTCTGCCAACCGTGGCTTCTTTGCGACTGGCTCGCTGTCATCATCAGCATTGTTCGGCTCTATGGAAAGACGGGTGTCCAATTCGTATTCAGACTTGTCATACTGTATTCCTGAGGTGCAGCAATTGGCTGTGCTTGTAGTAAAAGTAGTTTTACCAAGTGAGCCAGCTGGTAGCTTGCTAATGCCGAATCGCCCAGAGGATAAAATACGAAGAATTCTCAAAGGATGATTTTACAATCGGTTAGGAAACTTGAATAATTGAAAAGTTCACAAGACATGATACTTTACCCTACTAAGAAGCCTTAGGCAGTCTGAATATTACGATAGTCCATTAATATTGGTTTGAAGAGAAGGAGCCTTGGTGGGTTAGTAAAATTAAAAATGATGACACCTTTGACCCATTCTAACCCCACTGGATATTCGTTTCACGGTTCGCAAGGGAGAGTTAAGCCAGCTATTACTGATCTGCTTAAAATGATGTAGGGAGTATAACTCTTCAAGCCAGCTAGCAAGAATCAGCTACCTTGATCCCAGAGCCCACCTCCTCCATGTAGCTGGCTTACCCGCAAGAAAAAACATTTGCCGCCAAAACTGAACTTCACAAACAATAAAATTAAAACACTACAATTCATCTACGCTGCTTTGTTGGTTTTACAAGGTCTCAAATAAGATGAATATAGCGTCAATAAATATGCAAAAAAATCTAGGATAATCGTTAGCCTAGAGTCCGTATTTGACGTAGTGACTACGACATCAGTATCAAAAAAACTAAAACCAGACGGCTAAAATTTAGTGACTTTTGCGGAACTGTGAAATAGGCCACTTCGTAGTTAATAACACAAAATAGTTTAAGAATTGGCACAGAACTCTATGTAGCAAATACGAAACTGTAAAGTGAGCCCTCAAGGGAGCACGGTCAAAGGAATGTTTTAAAAGGAAATGGTAGAAAAATTAGGACTTGGAAACAGCTAAAAACCTTTTGTGAAGTTGCAGAAGATAAATATTATGCCGAATCTATTGATAAGCCGATACGAAAACCAAACTTAACCCTGGTGGTAAGGGAGCTTGCAAATATATCGAAAATATCAAACTTTAGCAACTTAGAAACTTAGAAAATAGAATATTTAACCCAAATCGCAAAAACTAATCTAAACCAACAGCAAAAATCCGCAAATTTTCATCCCATTTCGAGGGTTTTCTGTTGATGGAGCTTTTGAGTTAACGGCATAATGCAACTACCCCGAGATTTCTTTCAAAAACATGCAACAGAAAACGGCTTGACGGCCGATTTCAAAATCTTGACTCAGTAACAGCTAATATGGAAATATGGAAAATAAAACGAGCTCATAAGATTCCGCTCTTTTAGATAAAACTAACAAAACGCATCTCCTAAGACAATTGCAATGAGGTTATGTGGACAACAGGAATGGGTATAAAAGCATTGCAAATAAGAGATCACTAAAGTAAGGTAAGGCTATGATTTTTGACCCGTTGTACGAAGATTTGAAGACTGAAACATCAGCCAGCATCATCAAGACCTCTCACACAAAAAAGTCGCCCCATGACGACAAAAAATACGCATGTAAATAATCCACCACAAAAAGTCCCAAGTCAAAGAATCACAAATTTGAGAAACTGGATACTGAATTAAATGTGTACTAAAGTAGAATTTCCGTGCAACTTCAATGATACGAAGTAGGTAACAGTACGCTGAATTTGGCGTACTCCAGGCTGGGTTAAGCCATTCGGACCTTGACTATAAAGTGCAATTCCAGTGCAAGGAAAGGAGGATTACTTGCCAATTGTCTTGTCCAACTTTTGTCGACTGTTCATCCATGGTAGATCAGCAATCTTTTCCAGCAGCGCGATGAAAAAACCACCGGTGTCTTGATCATGAGGAAAAACCCGTCTGCAATGCTCCAAGTGAAGCTCCTCCGTATTCTCAGGTGGAAATAAGCTCGATTGAAAATATTTCCGCTCTCTAGATAAAATAAGTCAAAGAAAGAATGAAAAGAAGAGAGAGAACGTGGGAGGGAAACGAACGCCCCTCACCTATCTGAAACCTCATCGTGCTTCGAGTACCACTTCTCCGAGTTCGACATAACTCGCCAGGTTTTAAGCCCGGGTCTGGCAATGAAGCCTCCCACCTTGGCTGCTTCAGAGCCAGGAAGGCACATAAAATCAGGTTCAACAAGACGCACAGTCCCCCTACATGCCGCGAGGATGGATGCAACCACGGCCTCATCCTCAAGCGGATTCAAGGTGCAGGTCGAATATACAAGACGTGGAGGATCTGGATCTTCTGGCGACTGAGGTACTCGGAGCAACTCAAGTCCCCGGCGCAGTATCCTCCTCTGAAGTTCGTGATGTTGCCTTGCAACATTAGGTCGCCATCGAGACCAAATATCGGGACTCTTCCGAAGAGTCCCGTCGCCACTACACGGAACATCAGCAAGAACCCGATCGAATAGCATTTGTCGAACCTGAGAAAAATCATCTTAAAGGGTAGAGTTACTTCGTCCGGCTTCTCAGGCGAACTAATGAACAAACGAGGGTAAGTAGAGGCATCTTTCTCAGTAAGAATCACACAGGGGCTTTGAAGCCTCTTGACTTGATGCGCCAGCATGTAGCAACGTTTGCGATCCACATCGTTGGCCACAACTATTCCCGAGGGTTCGGCGTAACGATCAGCATCAGTGAATTTATTTTCTGCGTCAGCGTGGAGAAGTTCCACGAGTTGGGCAGATTTTGAACCTGGAGCGGCACAGAGATCCAAAACTGCGTGATGCTCCTTAACATTCAACACAAGGGGTGGTAGCATACTGACAGCCTCTTGCCGACTTAGGTTCCCTATTAAATGTAATGTTTTCTTTTTGTATAACCATAAACAAACCTGCTTCAGACTCCGATACTAAGAACTTTTGAAGCTGCTGCAACTCGGGAGACTTTCGAATCGCTAAGCGAGTCGAGTTTATTTGCCACGCCATGTTTCCAGGATACCATTTAAGAGGAACTACAGATACTTTTTCATCAGATTGATCAACTCTATGTTCAATTATGGAATGGAGATAATTTTCCTGAAGGAGAGAGAGTAGTTCACGGTTCTGTTGGCGAAACCCGGTGATGCGGAATGTGACGGGCAAGGGGGTCCTCATAACTTTAAGAAACTCGTCAAAATCAGCATCGTCCAACATCAGCTGACTTTTGTAGTACTCCTCCAATACCGAATTAGATAACTCCATGTCTTTAAGCTCTTCAACAAAAAACCTAACCTTTCGACGCCTACCCATGCTGCGACCCTCTGTTTTTAGCAGAACTCACTCGAAACGGCAAGGCCACTGTTCATTCAAACGATTACTTGCGCAAACACTAAGATGGTTTTTTCAAGTAAGCATAATACAAAAACATGTGGTAATTAAGTTTACTCCTATCTGATTCGAATAATTGCAATTGCAATGTGCTCATGGGCAATGATGTGTCAAGTGTATTTGCCAAAATCTGGCCCAAAAACATTTTAAATTTAAATGCATTCTTTTTGGCGTATTAGAGTTGCGTTTAGACTCTTGTTTATTCGCATACATTTAGCGAACGCCCTTTGTTTTCCAACGGCGGGCCAAAAGTTACATATATAGCCTACGAGTATGGCACACAAGCAGGCCGGTGTGGATTTGGAATCTCTTTATAGTGACCTTGGCAAGGCTTGCAAGGCTGCTTCTTATTCAAGAGTCGTGGCTATTTGTGACAAAAGTAAGGTCTTTCGCCTATCCTCTGATAAAATTAAGTCCTAAAACCCTTTCCCACTGATGCATACGCTCTGCACTGCAAAATAGTTTCTCTCATCCGTCAAGATAGGTTTGATGACTGCTTGGAGTTCTTCCGGAAGCAACAAGTCGAGTTTGTCACTGGTCTTTTCCTATGCCCCTTAGTGGTTATCATTTGGAAAGAGCATACTGTGAATACCGTTTAAATCGCCTGGTTGATGCATTGAAAACTGTCTCAAGTTGTACTGTTGTGACTCAGGAGCTCATTGAACTCCGAGCACAAATTGTAAGTCTCCAATTAATATTAATTCATCTTACAGTATTATCGGCTTGAAGAATTTGAAAGGGCGATTGAAGAGTATGAAAATTTGGTGAAAACATGCAAAGTGAGTAATTTTCTACCCACCAAGTGGTCTGCAGGACGATTATCAGGGTGAGCGGCAAACTAATCTTATTGCTGCGAGGGCTGCGCTTTCTTGTTTCCAAGGAAAAGTTGTGGTTTGTACACCTTTCACTCATTTGTGCTCCTAATCAGCCATTAAACTACTCTCCTGCACTGTTCGAGACTGCATTCAATGCAGCCTGTTATTACATCGGCAAGAAGGACTACATGAGGGCCCTCAAGTACTTAGATGAGGCTGAAAGTACGAAAATCTTCCATCATTGCAACCATTTATAGAATTATGTACTAAAACTTTTGAAGACGACACCGATGTAACTGAGGAACAAATCAATGAGGAAGTTGCTCCCATTAGGTTGGCTTTGACTCATTCGCTTTTTTCGGGATACAGATTTCTGGTAATCGCGTTTTTTCACGTAGGGCTCAAAAAGGTTTTGTGCTGCAACAACAGCAAAAGGCGGATGTTGCATTTGAAGTCTATCATACAATTTTACGTCAACGGTTTGTCATATTTTCGGGATCTTCATAGACTTATTTATTTCAGGTCCGGTGACCCATCTCTGATGGTTGTGATTTCAAACAATCTTATCTGCATTAATAAAGAACAAAACGCTTTCGACACTCGCAAACGCATAAAGGCGTCTTCGATTGATGATCTCCAGCACAAGCTATTCCAAGCCCAACGTAGTTCAATACTTGTAAATCAGGCTCTATTCTATCTCAACAACAATCAAGTACCGTTTTGGCTGTTTAGTACTCATTATTACCCCTAGCTTGACGCCTGTAATGCCAAATTGAAAGCTGTTTTGAATGAAGACCCAAACAATGTGCGAGCTGTCATGCTCTCGGCAGTTAGCTTAGCCAAAAGCAAACAGTCTTCTGCTGGTGTCCGGCTGCTGGAGGTAAGCCGGCTCCTCTCCTTCTATTTCATTTTTGTTAGAACTTCGCGAAGTCTTCAGCCTTCGATGAGGTGGACAAACAGAGTCGCCTAGCCGTCATCTTCCTCCTCGTCCACCTTCAACTTATGGCCGCTTCAGGTACGTCTTTGGGCGCCACACCCACCGCTCCGTTGCGAGTGGGCAAACTCACCGCTGAGGTAGCCGACGCCTTGTCGGAGCAGATCCTTGCCAAGTTGCTTCCCAAGGAGATAGCTCTGCTGCCTCTCATTGCATCACTTCGCGTTGCCCTTCTTTTGGGTACGGGAACTGGGGGGGCGGACTGCGTTGACGAGGCGACAGTCAAGCGCACTAAGGAAATTGTCTTTGAGACGCTGGAAGTTTGGTCCAAGAAGTCGTCCGATGTACGCTTTGCCCTTGGAATTTGTGCCGGTTTTATAATGTTAGCTGATTCCTGGGTACTTTTGTAAGTTTACCATGATAAAGCTTTTTTAAAACAGAAAATAAAGCTAGTTGGCCGGAGTCATGCCGAAACGTTGATTAACGTCAGTTTACTTCATATTACTGAACGTTAGCCATTGTGCTTCTCCGCTAGTCATCTCAGCTGGATGCCGATTTGTTAGAGCCCTCTGCGAGGCAGGAACTAAGCTTAGGTTTGAATTCATCCTGGGATGAGAAGGTTCTTAATCTTGATATCAGCCGTGTTTCCCGGGATTTCAACTTTTTTTCTCCTATTAAGGCCTTGAGATTGATTTTGGAGGCAGAAGCGAAGTTTATGGGGCGCATTCTGCACGCTAATAGTGCTTTGCGAGAACTCTTGTCCTAGACCAAGTCTATTACAATGAATATTAAAGTCAATTTTTTTCACTCTGACCTTTTCCTGTCGCACTTGATTGTGATTATTATGCTTTTGGATCTCCGTCTAGATTCTTATTTCCTTTGGTTGTTAGCTTGAGATTTAGTAAGCCTGGGTACATTATTTGTTACTCAATTACAAGGGAACGCATTGTAAATTATGATTTGCTTCATTCAATCGAGGTCTGAGACAGTAATTTGAATGCTTGAACTCGTCTAGCCTCATCATACTTATCTTCGATATCGTTTTTTTTGCGACGAATTGGGATCCCCCTTCTCTCTCATTACAAAAATGACTTTTTCTTTGAGTAAGGTTGTAATCCTACCATTCGTGTGTTTTGTTAGGAATCCCTTTCTTAGGTCAGACGGCTTTTTACCCAGGGAATAGAGCAGAAGTGTGGTTCATGTCATACAAGCAAATCCTCAATGCTAATCGAACTTTATGAGGATCTCTTAAATCAGATTTAACCCCGAGAAAGAAACTAATTTATCTTTAAGACTACTTTTGATAGGGTTTTGTCTAGACTTTTATCAAACCTCTGTTTGGGTCATTACTTCAGTTCATTCCGGAATCGGAAAGCCACTGTCTTTAAATTATGCTTGACGGTCGGTCCTATATCGCATACATTTGAAATTTGCATATACTTACACTGTCAGATTAATGTTTTACATTGCGTACTATGTAGTAGGCTTGTGTTTTTTTTAATGGCTGGGTTTAATTAAGTGTTCGAGAAGTCATCAAACTCTCCTTTCTTATTCTAGGGCATCTGGATAGTTTTGTGGCTCCTAGTTGCTCCTGTATACGCTTATCAGCCATAGGTCTGGGATATATTATTGATGCACTAGGGCTAGAAACTAAGGTTGGACAGATAGATTGCATTACCACGCAATTTTTTGTATAATCAAAATCACAGTCAGCAATCTACACGTCCTTTTTCTCATGTTTAACGTTATTTATCACGCTCCTTGTATTCACCAACCCAGTGGGAGTCGGAGCAATGAGAACTCCTACCATACGAGTGGGGATTGTGGACGTGCACGTTAACGACATGACAGCCACACGCGATTACATTTCACGGGGACTCCCTCATTACTGTATCCACTTAAATTATAACCCCATAAAATAGCATTTCATCCGGTAC